AGTAGTAGCAAGTATTATTTTTCTAGGATTTCAGAAGTTACGTTAGGTAGTTTTCCTGTAGCTTCAAATCTGAACATACCATGTTGTTTTGCTTTTGTATGCATGTGATTACAATCATCCATGTGACCCTGTTTCCTCATTTTCATGATTATATTCATTCCAAGAATGTTAGTTCAATTCCAAGCAGTATGGCAAGTGCAAAGATGACACGCATGTTTGGCAACTAATGAAACTCGCTTACTTGTTCGTCAAAAGCTTGTCAAGAGTAGCTTGGACCAGGCATTCGGACCCAAGAGTTGCAGAGACACAACATGGAGCAGTTTGAATCGATAGACGCATCAAACCTGCAACTACAGTGATCGAACACAAAGCAAAGCTCCGCATCCCTCAAGAAGAGTGAAATTCAAAGTAATTTTCTAGTGAAGTGATAATCATGTCTGATCTTCAAAAATGGTTACCCCTGTTTTTTCTTATCCGTATCAATGTTTATCAGGGTTCATATTGTTTTCGACTCGTGCAAAGCATTCAAATCAGCAATTTGAAGGTCGAGCGTAAAGAGGAGGTTCTGTCGGGCATTTCTCTTGCCTCAGCCAAAATTGCATCATTCTCGTTGCATCTGTGCCTATTGCAGCTGCAGCTATGAGATTGGATGAAATATGATGAAATCAAGGAACACTCCGTTGATCCTGTTGCAAATCTGCTTCGTCATTTTCATCTCCAGTGATCTCCAGTGTCCGTTTTCACCCAGTTTCAAACATTCTGCTTGTCGGGATACATGTGTCTGTACATAGATCGTTGGCCCAACTTCGGCAAGTGCAGCTCGTAGTCTCCCGTCCTTAGTGTAATCTATGCAAATCTGAGGGTCTTCTCTTGACAGTTACATGATACAAACCTTTGGGGTCAGTTGGTCGCTATGAAAAACTCTTGGATTGGATGCGAAGGCAAGAAACCACACAAGTCAATGACAAACTATGGCAAATGTCGTTCAAATCAAGGGACAATTGGCACAAGGCATTGTCCGGGTCGGCCGCAACGCACGATGCTGGGCGCTGCTTAGGTGCTTCAAGAATATTCAGTTGATAGACGTCCTGGTCACTTAAAACTTTCAAACCACAGAGATGCAGCCGTTGCAATTCCAGTATTGCAATGGATCAGCGGCTTTGGTTCCGCATGGTTCTGTAATGTTCTGTAGCTCTAGTCCAAACAACGCGCTGTCAAAGAACCCCAAATCCGTGACCAGAAAGCTGTCAACAGGGACGGCTCTGCAAAAAAGTACAGTAGATACTCACAAGGCGGGCGTCCAAATTGGTCTGCTCGATGCAACCTCGGCTTGGTTCAGAATCGTGTCGCTCATGGCCAAAACATGCCGAGACTATGAGTCTCTTGGGCAACTGGTGATAGGCTTCACAGCATGAACCGAGAAGGTGTATTCACACTGAAGTAGAAGCCATCTGGTCAATTTCACAGCTACCATACTAAGGAAGCTCTTGGATATCCGTGGGAAAAGTCATGCCAGGGCACTGAAGTCATCATCGATCTCTTTGAAAAGACCGGCAGCTTTCCAAATAGAACAAACAAAAACGTCGCACACCTAGGTGCCGAGTCATGCCGGTGAGTTGCATACTGGACATCTCAAAATGCAATGCGGTGTTGAGTTCGCACTGCCAATCATGTGAGCTTGATGCAAATTCATCCATATTATCCTCTCTCTGCAAAACGCTGCAGCTTGCATCAACAAAGGATTTCCCGATCACTCAGGCTCATGGTAACCAAAACGAGGCACCATCGCTATGGATGGGGCTTGAGTACCGTTGTTGAAGTCCGAGGGGTATAAAACGCCATCTGGTTCCGGCACAGCAGGAATTAGATCCAACCTCAGCATTGCACTGCCAGCACTGCGCTTTGCACTAATTTGAATTTGATCTAATTTCTTGTTGTTTCACATACTAGTAGGTCCAAAAACCAGAGGTACCTGAGGTACCTGACTTCGGAACCGGTAAAGGTGCGTGAGGAATGTCTGGGGTGACGCAGTCTACATGAGACAGTGTGTTTATTCATGCTCATTCCATGAATTAAACCCTACTTGAGTGGTCAGCATTAAAGGCTAGCCTTGACATTGCGAGAGTTGCAGCTACAGTTTGACATGCAGTGGTGGAGCTTGACAGACTTCATGGTATGACCTCCGCCCTTCGGGTTTTTGAATGAAAGGCTCAAAGAGGTAACAACAAGAAACGATTCAGAATCCAGAATGGATCTCATGTCCTGAGAAGCTGGACTTTGCATCTAGACCCCTAAAACTGCTCCAGAATTGATTTTGTGCACATAACACAATGGCAAACCTACACTCCAATCATTGTTCACGGATTTGTCCTGCCTGTTCTTTTGCCAAGATTCTCCATCCCTTTTGAGAGCGCTTCTCTGTACAGGGCAGTTCCCGAAAGATTGCTGAAGGCAGATCCCGTGACATGCTGATTCCTTAGCACTGCACTGTCACATAGTCAACGGCCGCAAATTTATCCAAAATACGCATTGGAAGGCCTATTAGATATAACTCTTGATGCCTTCTGTGCGTAATCATGTAATTGGATACATGATTGTATTCTTGTATCTAACATCATCTAATATTAATATTATATACATTATGACAAATGTGTAATGTCTATTATATATAATTCTAATTTAATATATGAATCCAGCAAAGCATTTCCATCTGGGTCCCTTTCAATCCAACGACATCTTTGATTCAGACATACACCAAGGTTCCAAGCAAGCAGGAATGGCTTCTCGAGCCTGGGGATGTATCTTGTCACGATGGGCACACCAACCTGTCGAAGGTTCAACCAGTCAGTTGCATCCAGATGTTTGGGCTACGCAGAACCAACGACAAATTGCAAAAATCAGGAGAGCCTTGAACCAAGGTCCTTGAAGTGCTGCGAAATCACATCATGTGTCATTTGGAAGGGGAGATGCTACCTTTCCAAGAGAGCTATGGAGTTCCAGCCGTACCCAGTGCAGCTCAGACAGCGAGCCTCCAGCAGTTCCCAAACAAGGCAAATTTTGTCTGCAGTGCTATTGTATGGTGGCATGCACCTTAGATTCTGGACCATTCTGGACCGTTCTCAGAAACTCATAGAAACTCTGCACTGCAATGTCCAACTGAGCATCTCATGATTCACAGTGATTCATCTGATTCCCTGAATTTCTTCGCTGATCTTCGCACAGCGGGAAGCGGCCAAGTCACGGGTAGTTGCCACGAGTAGTGTCAATCCAGCCGGTGAAGAGGGCATGATAACCATATTCCAAGCCTGGCAGTGCAGGGGCGCAAGTGGTGCTGGTTTTCTCATTGGTTTATCCCTGAAGAGAATCCACAATCCAGCCTTCATATCGATGGTAGAAATCGTTAGCACCGCCTTTGGGGAAGTCCAAAGGAAGAGGCTTGCCATGAAACAGAACTTGATTGTTTCTTTGGTATTTGGAACTTGACTTCCAAAATCTTCCAAACCTTTTCCTGTCGCAACTTACCACGGCCTTACCGAGCTCTTTGCGTGAGTACTTCAGCTACCTCCAAACTCATTAGCACATATTAGCACAATGTACAAAATGTTTTCTACCTACTTTATCCTGCTTTGATCTCCAAACGCCCAAAATTGATCCAAATTGTGTTGCAACCCACCACTCCTTTCGAGAATTGGCCGGCAGCAGCTAAAGAAGATATACAAAACGTGCTTAAGTACCCAAACGATTGCTCTCCAATCTCACAATTCTCTCTGCTGGTATTTTCCTGCTTGGCAAGGTGCGTTCACTAAACATCTTGCCTTGGACCGGGGTTGCACGAAATTTTGCTTTCAAGTCGTGCGCTGAACTACTTCTGAGAATCAGTTTTTCTGCATAGACGCAAGACAATCTTGACAACTCTTGATCAATCTTGACATCTCTCTTTGTAAGCCCGGCAACTCAATTTCAGACACCACCCATGCTGTGGAAACCTCCTGCAAATCTTCGGATCAAGCCAAACAGTGCCAGGCTGCGATACTCCTCTCGCAAGGGTGCATGTACCACGGAGAAACCAGCAGCTTTCGCCTCCACGAGCAAGGTGTGAGGGATGTCGATATTCAGCTCTGAGAGTAAACAAACAAATCCTGATCTCTCCTGTTCAAAGCTGAAACAAACATTTCATCATACTTATATACATATATTCATATTTCATCGCTGGAACATCACACCTCCCACGTGAAAGCAGCGCCCACTGTTTGTACTGCCCCACGCCCATGATATCCATCCCAGATTGGGGTCCGACTGGGCCTGTGCCATCCATTGCCTGTAAGGCGTGCGTTGGATTCCATTGGTCGGCCTGGCAACTTTGTAGGCACATGACCATAGCAAGTGCAAGTTGCAGACAGGATCTTCAAAAAAGGGAGATTTTTTAAAAAAAAAAGTTCCTGTTCGATTGAAGAAACATGAAAAACATAGGAAATCTAGAAAGACATAGAAATACCATGAAAGACCAAGATCAAGCTGACTCAAGCTGACTCATCTCGGAAACCAAGCTCGCCCCACCAGTAAGAACCATTGACAGTGCTCTCTGCAATATAAAGCTGTCCATCCTTGGATTTGGGTCTTGGACTCCCAGGAAAGCAGAATGAAAAAAACACAAACAAAGTGATTATAATTAACAATTTATATATATAAGTAGTCTGAAAGTCTGAAAACATGGCAGAACATCCGAGAAAAAAACACCTCCAACAATCGGAGTCACATCAACCGAAACCAGCCAAGTCTCTTCCCACAAGGCCACGGCAGTGTGGCCTGTATGCGATCCCATGCCAAAGGCCAGGACCGGATCCAAGCCATCCAAGCGGATGACCCCAATGAAGTCTCCACTGTGAATCTGCGACTCGTTTAGGATGGGCTGATCTCCGGGCGGAGAAACTCGTCTCCTAGGACGCGCCAAAACAAAGATGTTGCTGGAGGAAGCATTGAAGGGGGCCAGAGCCGGGAACCAGTCAGAGTCAGTCGGGTTTAGGGCATTGTGATTGCTTCTGTGTATATTATATATATAATACAATCAGTATGTTAAAGAATTCCAGCACCATACAGGACCAGCTGCTTCATCTCAATGCCCATGTACTTTTCCAAGAAGTCCACATTCCGCTGGGCTGCCAATGGTGCAACACCTCTCTCAGGCCAAAGTGAACTGCCTCACTAAGTTTTTCAGACTATGATAAAAAGACTGCACCCAGACATGGATCTCCGATTCATTTCGCATCCTGAACCATGCCCATCCGCATCTTAGAGTTTCAAGAGTCACAGCCTGGCATTTCCTGCCCCTTTCCACAAGTACAGGAGGCGCAAAAGTCAACAAGCTTGAACTCTTGACAGGTTCACATCAAAAACTATTCGAGCCTATGTAAGTCAAATAAGCCTCTGAGTCAAATAATGTCAACAGTATCATAGCAGGAGACTTTACATTTGAGCCCCAACGCATCCCCGCAGCTGAAGTCCTGCCTTTGGTGTGAAGAGGTGCGAACAAGAGTGCCGTATCCAAGACACTTCGCATGGTGGCAAGGGCATTCTCATGGAAGGCAAAGATCCGTACGCCCAAGTTGTCCACATCCCAAGTTTGAGGTTCTGTTAGCCTGGTGATGTCGCAACAGGAAAGTCTTAAAGTTGCACACCAAAATGTCCGAAAATCTTCACAGCTGAAACATTCCTGAAACATTCCGACAAGATCAAAAGGCCGGAACCCCATTTCGAATGTGAAGGTCTTCTGGCCACCAATTGGAGTTGAGAAGGATCCAATACGAAAGTGGGAGGCAGTGAAGAGGCCAAAGACTTCATTGCAAATCCTTGCGAACACATTCCGCGGTTTCCTAAAATGGAGGTATCCCAAAAAATTGATGGTTTAAATGGAAACTCCAATCAAAATGGAGGATTTGGGGGTACCCCCATTTTAGGGAACCTCCAAGATGTTCAAGTCACCAAGCACAATTGCATTGCTTGGAAAACTCGCATCATTGCTAAAGATTGCCAAAGGCTATGCAGCTACGAGCTAAAAGCCAGGGGTCAAACGTTGCGCTTTCGACACCTTCACATGGAGCTGCCACTTGTCTTTCAGTTTCTCCACAGAGGCAGACACCTGAAGAGAAGTCAACGTGAGCCACGTCTTGTCCGAATGGAAGTTGTGCAACTAGAAATGTCACGAGTTTTGTCCAAGCTCCTACACATTCCTACACCCTGCATCTGCACTGCATCTGCCCTGTCGAAAGCAGGCCTCTTTCCAACAACGAGAAGACCAACCCAGTGCGCTTTGCCCAGGAAGAACGCGACCAATGAATTTCCTCGGGTCCAGATGGGAAAGCGCTCGGGATTCTGCCTATATTTGAACAAAACTGGCCCAACACACAATCACAATCAATCACATGTCTTGGCTTCCATCAAAGTGGCGGCAAAAATCGAAAGTACTTGTAATCCATCGCAGTCCTTAGCAACATTTAGCAACAATGAGCAGTCGCGTCTGCGGTTCGTTTTTTCGTCAGATTGACGGAAGATGTGGGGTCAGCGGCCAGGTCACAACGGGATCTACGTGGGTGATAAGCTGGCAGAACAGCTGGGTGGGGGCAAAAAATGGAGAAATATGATGGAATATATTGGAAATATATTGGAAAATATATTGGAAATATCTTGTTTTTTTATATATTGAAACATACATATGAAATATGTGGAAAATATGATAGTCATGAGAGTCGTGTCTTTCGACTAACAGCACCTGTTTGTAATGAACTTTGGGATACAGCTTCCCCAGTGCTGAGGTGATGACAGATTTTCTCCATGCAGAGCTTGCGTGGCAAGCGCATCTTTAATCAGCTCTTCGGTCCAGGTCAGCGGTCCTTGAGGAAAAGAGCTAAGGCCCATGTAGATCATGAAGATCTAAGAATCTAAGTATTCATGGTTTATTTAAAACAAAAAAAAAACATGTTTTACATCAACTGTATCAAACTATATGTTAAACTGCATTTGAACAACACATGGTCAAGGTAGTAATTGCTTCTGACAGAGAGTGGTTTCACTTTCATGGGGTGTACTCGTGCCAGTGCAAACTAGTTGCGTTTTGCCGATGGATCTACACCTTGGACCTGGACAACGGCTTGACACGGCTCGACACGGCTTGACACGGCTTGACACGGCTTGACACATGACACTCCGCCCACTCAGTGGACTTTGGGTGAAAGCCAGGCCTCTGCCAAGTCCTCAGCATAGTCCTTTTTGATGGACTCAGGTAGCACATCCACAGCAAAGGCCAAAATTCGTACAGCCAAGCGCCCCTTAGTCTTCCGGCGTGGCAAATACATGTGTTCAGATAGGACTCTGCACAGTCTGAGAATTGCACACAACTACAACATATGAGTGCTGAAAAATGAACTGTGTGAATATTTTTTCCCAAGGACCGCTGTACAATTTTTGCTCCTGGGCCGCGCGGCGGCACACTGCACACTGCACCTTCCGCGCGATAATAATCAGCGATGTATCAAATGTCCACTCCATCTGAATCAAACATGTACTCGTCTTCTGACTCCCAGAAATGATCGAAGTGACGTTCGTCATTATAGTTGAAGTTCACCACATCGCTGGGTTCTGTGCAAGAAGAACTCACGTAGGAAATCTCCACGAGCCAGTGTTTCACTTTGATCCTGTGCCCACCTCCATCACCCACCCGGTACTCCATCTGATAGAAACAACCTGGCTTGGCCTGCGAGACGATGTCATCACTCTCAGTGAAGCTGATCGCTGGCGGGTGCGGGCCGTGCGGGTAGTCTTGGTTCCTGTAAGTGCCATAGAGGTTTCTGCGCACAAGCACTTTGTCCGCATCCTTTAGGGTCAAGAACAATGCTGACTTAGTATTTCCCCACTCCTGGTCTTGGAAGGTTCCGGCAGAAACTTCGATGCTGGAAACAGGATGCGCAAGCTCCTTAGACCTGGCCGCAGGGCGCAGGTCGCGGCTGACAGTGCTATCTTTGATGCTCAACGCATAAAGAACGTTGGGGCCAGGGTTCTCCACCAGCATCGTCAGGCTGCATCCTGTCTCCAGATTGTACGCGCTCAGCGTCGCAGTGGAATCGTCCAAGACTGTGGTACCAAAAATCAGTTTCAAGTGCCGCTTGGTAGGGTCGAAACCCAATCGCTCAAAGAGCATGCTTCGCAGATCACTCACCGTCTCCGTGTCGAGAACGTCCAAATCGAAAGGCTCATTGCACAGCGAGTGAATGGACACCTTCAGCGGCACGGCCATGGCTGCCATGGCTTCGCCCGGCTAAGAAAAAGGACAATGAGCCTGTCAAACTTGAGCCAACATCACAGTATTGCTATGGCTGCTATGGGATCCAATGGGCTTCCAGTTGTACCTCTGTACAAAGCTTGCCAAGGAGCTCGGAAATCGGTCACGTCGTGGCTTAGTCCACCATTTGACATCCACCTTTTGCGACGCACGTTCAGAGGTGGGGATCTGGGACCATCCAATCACAATGCCTGTCCAACATGCCGGTTATGAAGTCGTGACATATCTTGACATCTTGCTGCATCGCAGTTGTTGCACACGATTTTTTGAAAACGCCATGAGGAAATGGTCCGCTGTCACAGCCAGTGCCTTTCAAAGTCCTCTTCTGGCTGCCCAGCGAGTGTCCAATCGACTTCCACGCTATTAAAGGCGACTGATAGAGACCTGAGATCAATGATGATCAATGGCATCAGCAGTGACCTTTAGAATGACTGGCTTTTGGCAAAACTGATTGCATGGATCCAAAATGATCCAAATCTGATCTTTGTTTTTCTTAAGACGTCACTCCATTGAATCCATTGAACATCCTTGGAGTTCTGCCGAGAATCAAAAGCCGCCGAGATGGCTGCCCGTGTGGGCCCAACCAGCACACAGCACTAAACGTAAGCAAAAGAACTGCAAACCTTGCACGTCAGTCATGTCATTGGTGGAAAGCTTGGCTCGCAAGTCCAAATACTTTCTTTTGTGTCTTTGCAGAGTCTCTTCTTCTGACACAGGAAAGAGGAGGCTCTCAAGTTTCATGTTCAACTGCTCACAAAGCAAAAGAGTTTCAGCCCACACAGAATCTGCAACCATGGCGCAGGCTGAGTTCTCGCTTCATGTCTGCTTCGGAAGGGAACAAAAAATAAGAGGATGGCGGATGAAGCAAAGCAGCTGAGAGCCACAGCACTCCATGACACGGTCAGCCACACGGAACTTGCTAAAGACGACAACACGGACAAGCTTGCCTTCAACATGATCGAGCTAATGACGAATATTCAAACCTGTGGCTTCACTACCAATTTGAGAGAATAAAAGATAGTAGCACACTACAGGTCTCTCCATCAAGTATCTTTGTCCTCTGCAGACTCTGTCAATATGTGTCAACATCTCAGCAGATCACATGCCAACATATGCCAACATATGCCAACTGAATCCAACTGATATGCTCAGCCGCAATTTTCGGGTTTTTCCATTTTCCGTCTTGGCTGCATGCGCCAGGAGCTCTCCCAGCGTCACGGCTTGAAGTTTCCGCTTTTGCAGGCCGCGCAAGAACAGTCGCAAAGACTGCGAGCAGACCGATGAAAAATTTGGGGATAAAGTCGACGGGGTAACGGAGAGTCTATGGAACAAATCGAATTCAAATGCACTTAAATGGAATGATGGGTTCATTTATCAAATCGATCCAAATGAGACTTACGATCACACTGGTTCCATCTCTCAGCTGTCTGAAAAGAATGCAGTTGGATGATTGCAATCTGGCCACTATATTGCGACAACATGTGTGCAAGTGTCGATAGTCTGAAGCCCATAGGCAAATGGATCTTCACTTTCCAAGCCCGGCACCTCGTAGGTGTGTTGGCGGAAGCCTTTCTGCGGCATGTGCATGATCACAACCTCATCTCATAGCTGTCGTATCTATTCATACTTGTCATATCTCGGCTTCCCATCCTGCCCGTCCAACGGTCATGAAACGCGGCTGGGAGGCTGATCCTTCCTGTACCTGTCGGAGGTACACAGAGGCCACTCTCATTGGATCCGGGATAGCCCAATCATCTGCATAGCAATCCTTGGTGAGGAATGAAACAAATTGATTCATCAAGGATTCAGAAAACTTCAGAAACATGAACGGCTTAGTAACGGCTTCATAAAATTAATTCGTTCCAACTGTCGTCAAAGTACCCGTCCCTATCCCCATTGCAGTGCAACCGAAGCTCTCCCAATGCATGGGACATGTTGCGTGCCTCGAAATGTGGATAAAAGCGGAGCAGGTGTGTTCTGTCAAATTCAATGAGGAGCTCGTGAAAGGAGATTGCTGCTAGATGCTGCCGGATGGTACCAAATGCCGCCAGCATCTACAAACGACAAAATGAGCATTGTGCTGCTAAGTGTCCAAAGATGTCCAAACAATGGTAACGAATTGATCCCGTGCCACAGGCGGCTAATTCTTCCAAAGTACAAAAACACCCCATCCTCTGATCCCATGACCTGCCTGCAGTACTTGTGCCATCTCCTTTGTCAACCGCCCTTGCGGTGCACGGAACCATCGCGGCGCTGAAGCTTTGAGGAAGGGCCGCAGGAGATCATCCTGAGGCTGTTCCGACCTTCTATCCACTGCTGCAGTTTGAAGTCCTTTACAAATGAAGCAGCCGATCGGAGAGCCCTGGAAAGGATTCCAGCAAACTTCTCTACAGTATAGTGTGAAGGCTGCAACTTGAAGAACACGTTTTCCATGCAAGATAAGTCAGAACAAGCCTAGAGTTCTCCAGGTTCAATAAGTTTCAACCCTGGATTCACCCACGAATCTGGTTCAAATCTTGCACAGAAACTTCAATCCCTCGAAAGTCCTTTCAATATTGGAAAGTACAAAGAGGGTCAAAAGGGAAGAGCCGGATGCGGAGTGCGAGATACCAACGTTGAAATAGCACAAGGCCATAAGGAATCTAATTTAAGGCAGGTGTCAGTTTCAGCCAAAGCTGTTTCAAAGGACTTGGCTGAGAAGGAAGAATATTCTCTGTCCTCACGGGGAATATGTACAAGTCACAAGGCTATGTCTGTGAGGTCCCAATCTGCGTGCATCGAACTGACGGTAGCTGGGTTGCACTGGCATGCAAGGATCCTCACTCGGTTGGCTCCAAAATAGACTCTGACTCCAAAGCAGCAAGCATTGTTCTAAGGGGATCGCCAGAGCCTCTCCTCTGGCATGTGGTTTGCGGGTTCGTGGCCTTCGAAAAGCAGCCTCTGCACATCGTTGCCATGGACATAGTGGGAGCCTCAAGGCCAAAAGAGTGCACCGCAGATCATGGTGAGATCATGGAGTCACTGAGACAAGAGGCAAGACAAGCATCCTCCATCGCAGGTCCCATCGGTGCAAACGGGGATGTGAGAAAATCTAGGAAACTCACTTAAGGACGCAATGCTGAACCCTCAAATCTGCGGTGGGTATAGGGTTCTTGTAAGGTACTATCAAAATCAGAAGAGATCAAACGATTCAAGGGATTGCTGGTATACGGCAAGGCAGTTCTCCCACTCCAATTTGGATCAGACGATCAGACAAATGGATAAGTATGCTATGTCACAATGCAACCTGACATGACGCGGCGTGACTTGCATGACAGGGCAAAGCAATATATGAGTCACTTGACGACATGGAATTATCTATGTCTACATAATCACCGTGCGAACAGACTACGATGTTCCACATTCAATCTGGCGTGGCATGGCACAAACAGTTAGAAATAAGCTAGGCAGCAGAAACAAAAAAGACTAAGCACAAAAAACAGCAAAGCCCAACTCCTTGTAATCTCATGTGATTTCCGGCTTCTCGATAGTCTCAATGTCTCAATAGTTTCAGTGTGGCTGCCAGGCTGCCAGGCGGCTTAAAAAGAACGTGGCCTTGGCAGAAAAAGTCCGCAGCAGAGTCAGCACCTCCGGCAGCATGGACTTCGCTTGATCACCTGGGCACTTTGGACACACTACACCCGTCCTGGACGGTGATCGAAGCAATGCTGACCATGATGCTCAAGCACGTTAAGATACTTAAGATACGTTAAAGTTAAGATACGTTAAGTATCCAAGCTGCTGGTATCAGGTTGTATCTTATGAAATATTCTGAAATAGTCCAGCCACCCCGCCTCGACAAATTCCATCATCAATTGTCAATGCAACTAAACCTTGCACTCCTGGAGAAGAAGTCGGAGAGAAATAAAACGTTGTGTTGGCGAATTGTGGGAAGATTCCCTTCCTGAGCTTCAAAAGAAAGCCGAGGAAGATCCATATGAAAGTGAGCTCTTGAAAGCATCAGTAGGCAAGGTTTTTACCCGTACTGGTAGAAGGAAAGGAAACGTGGTTTTGACAAGCAAATGCACTTCGTCAAAAGTACATGATTGCACCTTGCTAAGATTAGGTCGTTCTCACGTCTGCAAGAACATGCGAAATGGAGGATCCAATCATGTGGTTGCGTGTGAGCATTCTGGCTTGAAAATGACAGAAATTGCATGGAGTCTGCACTCCGAGCATCGCCAGGGAGACCACATTTCGTGGGCCCAATGAAGCTACTAAATCCCACAAGAGCCACAAGCCATATTGGCCCCAAGTCAGTGAAACAGCGCTCAGCCTGGTTTCTCAACGAGGCAGAATCTAAACTGCTTCAGTCAAGCAGGCGTTTGGCTTGGAGAACAATTCAAGACCTTGGCCATGACCTCGTGAACCGATTCAACAAATATGCAGACTTCATTCTTTCAGAAGTGCCGAAGTGTGACACTCTTAGATTGCCACAGCATGATCACAGTTTGGTTTCAAACCCAACTAGGCAGGCCCTATCCCCAGTGCCTGCCCCTGGGAAGGCCATCTTCTGTCATTTGCGGCATCAGGAAGAACTGCAGCATGGGAAGATCGCCAAAAGACTCCAGTGATTTACCAAATCATCATGAAATCACACGGCTTTGTCTCACAATGGATGTCCCAAAATTGCCATGTTAACGGGGAAAAGGTGTGTATGCGTCAGTCAATCAATCAATCTATCTATCTATCTATCTTTCTTTCTTTTTTTCTTTCTTTCTATCTTTCTATGCATGGATGTACGTATGGATGTATGCATGTATGCATGGATGTTTGTATGTGTGGATGGATGCATGTATGTATGTATAGCCATATAAGATGATGATAAACGATGGGATTCTGGGGTCCCTATTTTCAAACAGACTCAATGTCTTGCATTCCTTTGGAAATGTGGCTCAATTTGACGGTAACCAATGTAGAAATGTGACTTGTTAGCAACACTGGACTCAAATTGCATATGGTGTGTATGGCTGTAATGTTGATTCTAGTTCATACCATACAGGTTTGCTCACATACATCACGGAAAGCCCCAAAAAACTATATATACAAATGGGTGCATATCCATACATGTACATATATATATACATATAACAAGAGAGAGAGAGAGGTGTGTGTGTGTGTGTGATGGCATCCTAGTGTGATCAATGAAGTTAGCAACAAGGCAGCCAAGGCAAATTGTTTCAAGACAAACAAAAAACTGGAATTTGTCGGTGCACATCGGAAGCCAGAGGATGTTTCACAACAAAAAAAAGTGGATGATTTAAATATATTCAAAGTGTCACTAGTAATAAATCACATGTCTCAGACCTGTCGCCCCGGGCCCGGCTGGCCTGAAAGAAGAAAGTCCAAACTAAGGCACCAATCAGGCATAGCCAAACGCGCGTCCGGCGCAACCAACGCATGGATTCTGGGCAAATTTGTTTTAGAAGCAATAAACGCCGATTTCATTCTCTGCTTTTGAACTTCATTGTGGGTTACGGTCACCAGCATGTATCTTATTTACCATTCCAAGTACCTTCAGATTCACATTTTGTCGCTGAAAATTTGAATGGGTCGTTTTCTGAAGTTCCCACTGGAGCAGCATGACTTGGAAAAGGTTTCGGGAGGGGATTGGAACCTATGCTAGTTTCCTCCCTGACGTCGCTCATTCTGTTCAATCCCATCAGCAACAACTTTTGTCCAATCATATTTAAGGTCTTGAAGCTCAACGTCAGAGGTGGCCAGAAGATCTCACAAGAATCTGACACATCCATTTTAGTCAAGTTCCAGCGGGCTAGTACATATCCATTCCGAGTGCGCTTAAGAGAGCTGGGCTTTGCAAGAGTGTCACGTTGCTGGTCAGCACTTCGTTGGCGCTTCTTACTCACTCCGCCGCAAGAAACAGGTAAGACTTGTACAAATAGATATGTAGCTCTGTGCGTGCGCGTGGGTATGATGTCTGCGCATAAATATTGCACATACAAAGATACGTATACGTATGTTACGTATGTGTATATATATATACATAATATCATATATATATACATACATATTATATCATTACAGACCCATACCCTTGGCCGACAACCACAAAGTGTTTGCAAACAGGTGGTACCTGTCAGACGGATCAGGACCAGTGATGTTTCATATGTTCCATGAACAACATGTGCGGAACGTGGGCTCCACTTCCAAATCCCCTTTTTTCTTGAAGGAATTTCCTTTCCAAAGTGTCCGCCGATGGGAACGCGCACGTCACGACTTCTCGTGAATCGGTAGCAGGCGTTTGGCAACTATTCGTGCCTCCATCGACCGCAACTGCTCTTGATCCTGTAGATCAAGTGTCGTCCTGCAAACTTGGAATGCAGGATCCTGTACATCATCGGTCTTTTGCAGCATAGCTGCAAACATCGCTCTCAGATTCCGCAAGGAGCACAGAAGCTCCTTGTCCGGGCCGTCTCCTCACAAGTTCCCCGGGTCAAAGGGAATTATCTGCAGCCTTGACACTAACAAACATCCTACAAGATTGACTGTGAAACTCCTGAAATACAGAGACAAACTCATACGTCTACAAGCATTTACACATAAGTCAGATATGCCAATTAAGTATGTGCCTATGCCGATATGAACCGAAAACGGTTGAGCACGACGAACTGTCACAAGTCACTTGGCGGTTAGGAACCTATGAGTAGCGGTTGTGGAAGTCTCGGTACAGTAAATTCAGCACCTGTAAAGCAGTACCCTACGGTGGATGGAAGAAATCCTGCATCAGTTGATAGGTGGTTTATCCCATTATTTATAATATAGGGTTTCAACCATCCAAGGTGACGCAGGATTTCTTCCATCCGCAGTATGGAAATCGGAGTGGTCCAATTTGGCCTACAGTCTACATGGAAGGTTGCTGCCAGCGCACCAATGAAGGTAGCATTCCCGAAATCAATCAGCTTCATTTTGAATGAAGACTCCTCAGATGGTCGCGCAGGTTGCTGGTTGGAGTTTATGTAGTGCACCCTGGCATCCTTCTTTAATTGTGTATCTAATAATATTATGTATGCATTTATATAATTATATACTATGTACATTAGATGCACTATGTATATATATATATATATTATTATATTATATTATCTTATCTTATATTATATTATTTTATTTTATTTTATATTATATTATATTATATTATTTTATATTATATTATATTATACTATATTATACTATATGATTTTATATCATATCATATTATATTTGTATTATATAATAATAGATTTTATTATGTTATACTATATTATACTATATTATATTATTTATATTATATAGAAAATATTGTCATTCTATATACATATAAATCATTATTATACACATTAATTGAAAAATCCTGATGATTATTATCATTAAGTTACTATTATCTATTTTAAAGATCGTATATTATACATTATACATTTTATAATATATATATGTATATTATATTATACATTATCTGTTTTATATTGAATAGAGTATATATTTTATATTATATGTTACATATTGTAAAAAGAGTACTATATATATATTATATATGATATATTAACTATCAAATATTATAAATTATATTTTGTATATAATATATTATATATTATGTATTATATATTAAATATTTAAAAAAAAAAAACATATACTGTATATTATATATAATATATTATCTATTATAGGTTGTATATTGTATACTAAATGTTATATATCATATATTGTATATTATATGTTATATATTATAGATTAAATATTACATATTACATATTATATGTTATATATTTTATTTTATATATTATATGTTAAATATCATATATCATTGCATATATTAAATATCATATCGTATATTTTATATATCATATATTATATAGAATATTATTTATCTAATATTATATATAATATATTATATGTATGATAAATTGTAAATGTTTTATATTATATTTTTGTTATTGTATACAATATTATATATATATATACATACAATATACATGTATACATATTATTAATGCACATTATATATATATTATACGTGTATATATATATAGAGATACATATATATATATATTATACATATATATATATATACGGCAAATGCGTGGGCTTTGCCCGGACCCGCAATGACGACAGGCGACGCATCATCATCATCATCATCATCATCATCATCATCAGCATCAAGCCCTTATTGAAGATCTTCAATGAATGTAGAAGTTTAACGGGGGTGGGAGAATTAAACCCTTATTGAAGATCTTCAATGAATGTAGAAGTTTAACGGGGGTGGAGGAATTCAATCCTTATTGAAGATCCTCAATGAATGTAGAAGTTGAACGGGGGCGGGAGAATTAAACCATTATTGAAGATCCTCAACGAATGTAGAAGTTTAACAGGGGTGGGAGAATTAAACCCTTATTGAAGATCTTCAATGAATGTAAAGTTTAACGGGGGTGGGAGAATTAAACCCTTATTGAAGATCTTCAATGAATGTAGAAGTTTAACGGGGGTGGAGGAATTCAATCCTTATTGAAGATCCTCAATGAATGTAGAAGTTGAACGGGGGCGGGAGAATTAAACCATTATTGAAGATCCTCAACGAATGTAGAAGTTTAACAGGGGTGGGAGAATTAAACCCTTATTGAAGATCTTCAATGAATGTAGAAGTTTAACGGGGGTGGGAGACTTAAACCCTTATTGAAGATCTTCAATGAATGTAGAAGCTTAACGGGGGTGGGAGTTTTATATTCCCTAGTACCTTTGTTGTTTTTCCCATAGGAATTTAAGGTTAAACGGGGGTGGTAGTTTAATATTCCCTAGTACCTTTGTTGATTTTCCCAATTGAATGTAAAGTTTAACTGGGTTGGGAGTTTAATATTCCCTAGTACCTTTGTTGTTTTTCCGATAGGAATTTAAAGTTTAACGGGGGTGGGAGTTTAATATTCCCTAGTACCTTTGTTGTTTTTCCCATAGGTAATTTTGTGAAGTTGCACCAACATTTGTTTGGGAATGGGAAACCTCTACGCTGCAACGCCTGGGCAAAGCCCAGGCGTTGCGCGTATATATATATATATAATGCAAGTATGTATTAAATCACGTACACAATCAAACATGTCCACTCGTATATATATTTACAATTATTTACATGCATACCTTACCATGCCGTGCCGTACCATACCATACCATTCCATTTCATTCTGTTACCTGCTAATTAAATTATATACATTACAATACATTGCATTAACATACATATACATACACATACATATACATACGCATACACATATACATATACATACATGCTGTATGTCGTTGCATGCCACCCCCCATATCTCAGATTGTAGATGCCTGCATCAGCTTTCCCTTGCTGTCTGAATCGCCTAATTTGGGGGCTCAAACGGCCCGAAAGACGTTGGGGGCACAGGCCATAGTACGACTACCTTCTTGCAGGTTTAAGTGTCGATCCTCTCGGCATCTCGTTTCCATATAGCATTTGAATCCATCATGAAGAGCAAAGACGCTCCCCAGAACCGCACACCGTTCAGCACACTAACAATTCCTGGAGAGAGCGCAAAGATGCGCAAAGTGGGTGACCGGTTAAGGGGGATCCAAGGCTTAATACTTGCAAGATCTCTGTATTCGCCAAGTGACTTATAACTTCAGGATGTTTGCTTGTCACGGACACTTGCGCAAGACACACAAACACCACCACCTCTCCACCCCTGGGTGCACCTTCTAACGCGGTGATGCCAGCGATGGCTTTCAACACCACTTGTTTGAAGGGGCCCCTCAAAGGCCAAGGCCTCAGGTGCCGAAAACGAGTTTGAAGAATTGGAAAAAAGGAACCAAAAATTTAAAAAAAAAACTCAAAATACTTGCAGTGTGTTTACACAAATTTTGTCATTCCTGAACTTCGGGAGGGCAAATTTCGTGTTTGCGCAGCAAAAACAGTGGCACAAGTTTCAACCTTGCAACCTGCCTCTTCTGTGAACCATATCCTCTCCGCAAGATCTGCACGTCTTCTTATCGTTGCGCAACGTAACCCACTAAACCCTGGATCTAGACGAGACCAGGGCGCAAATTGCTGCAAGAGATTTGCATTCTGGGGTCCATGTCTCACCAAAGCGAGCCATGATGCATGGAGCCATTTATTCAATTCCTGCAAATAGTGAATCCCATGCTGCCGAGGTTCTGCCCGGGATGCTGATTGAAAAATTTTCCAAATGCTCGCAGAAGTTCTGATCTTTGAACCAGTCTCCCCGCATGCTTGTCCTCTTTTACCTCCAAAACTCCAACACCCACTCAGCTGGTCTTCAGCAACTTCACTGGCTGTCACTAGCTGTTCTTTTAGGGAAAAAAACTGGGGGGACTCCATGTTTATTTAGACTGCTCGCGGAGAACAGCTGAAATGAATCTGTTGGTCTGAGTCCTTCGTCTCAAAAAAGCGAAAAGTTGGAACAGTCCTGGACCTCATTATAAATCATGGTACAATATGGTATCATCATTCAGTGTATAAATGTTCCATAAATCATTCTCCAACTATGGTATACTCATCCCCATGAGTGCTATCAACTGTGCAGGGTCCACAGCCCTCCACGGTCGCGGCCTTTGCGCCACTCTTCCAGTCCTTGGAGATGTCAGATTCGGATCAAACACATGCCTTTAGAAGTTGAATTTGCGAGAAAAAGTGCAACAAACAAATATTTAGGTGTAAACAATAGCGCACAAAATGGAAAAACATGGCTAGTACTTAAAAATACTTGACCCTTCTTGGTCAAAAAAAACATGGAGGGAACATCTGAAAAAGATGGCCAAGGGTCGCAGTATGTCAGGCCACAGTGCCTGAAACCTACTTGCGCAGAAGTTGTGGCAGCTGCCTTCCGCCGCATAGCCTTCCATTTCTCATCATTATGATGAGAAGCTCTCTGGACCTAGGACACTTCAACAAGCCACTATTGATTCGTTTGCGAATTACTGCCAAAATATTGATAAATCAAGTTACTACTTAGTTCATCTTAGTTGGTTCCCCCCACTTTTAGTAGAGTGGTGGTTTGTTATTCCTTCGATATGATTACTGTAGGTAACTCGAAAAAAAAAACTGGTTAAAACCCTTATTTACAGTAGGCGATCCAATGATATTGAGTGATCAAATCACATGGTGTTGCAGCCACCAAGAAGCAAATCCCAGCTTAACGTCGCAGACCGCTGGGTTGGTCATTCCCACATCCTCTAAAACGAGATATGACTGCACGCTGCCGTTTGTCTGGACGGACGTGGTGCCGAAGTATCTCGGCCTTGGCAGGCAAGAAGAGACAACGTCGCTGGAGGACAGACAGGTCAACTTCATCAACGTTTTTTTTCATCATTCCAAAGAATCATTTTGAGGTTTCCCTATTTTTCCCCACATCTTTGTGCGGGGTTCTTGTTTTTGATTCTGTATCCCTCCCGCTCCTCCGCCCGCTCCTCCTCTTTGTCAACCACCATCTTTGTCACACCATCTTTGTCCCACACCATCTCTCACACACATCTTTGTCACACACCATCTGTCACAGACATCTTTGTCAACCACCATCTTTCACACACGATCTTTCACCACATCTCTGTCACACACCATCTGTCACACACATCTTTGTCAACCACCATCTTTCACACACACCATCTTTCACACGCATCTTTGTCACACACCATCTGTCACACACATCTTTGTCAACCACCATCTTTGTCACACACACACACCATCTGTCACACACATCTTTGTCAACCACCATCTTTGTCACACCATATCTCACACACATCTTTGTCACACACCATCTGTCACACAGATCTTTGTCAACCACCATCTTTGTCACACCATCTTTGTCACACACCATCTGTCACACACATCTTTGTCAACTACCATCTTTCACACACCATCTTTCACACACATCTTTGTCACACAGCATCTGTCACACAGATCTTTGTCAACCACCATCTTTGTCACACCATCTTTGTCACACACCATCTCTCACACACCATCTGTCACACACATCTTTGTCAACCACCATCTTTGTCACACCATCTCTCACACACATCTTTGTCACACACCAGGCGTGGCACTTGCTGACATCCACTTTCGTATCACCTGGCAGGCGTGGCACTTGGTGACATCCACCTTCGTTTCGCGTGGCAAGCGTGGCACTTAGGGCACTGGGCTGGCTCTGGCGGCGCGCTTGGACTGGATTGGTCGCCGGTGACGCCGCGGCACTTTGCGTGGCACGCGTGGCACTTGGTGACATCCACCTTCGTTTTGCGTGGCAGGCGTGGCACTTGGCGATGTCCGCCTTTGTTTCACGTGGCAGATGTGGCACTTGGTGATATCCACCTCCGTTTCGCGTGGCAAGCGTGGCACTTAGGGCACTGGGCTGGCTCTGGTGGTGCGCTTGGACTGGATTGGTCGCCGGTGACGCCACGGCATTTTGCGTGGCAGGCGTGGCACTTGGTGACATCCACCTTCGTTTCACGTGGCAGGTCTGGCACTTGGTGACATCCACCTTCGTTTTGCGTCGCAGGCGTGGCACTTAGGGCACTGGGCTGGCTCTGGTGGCGCTTGGACTGGACTGGTCGCCGGTGACGCCGCGGCACTTTGCGTGGCAGGCCTGGCACTTGCTGACATCCACTTTCGTATCACCTGGCAGGCGTGGCACTTGGTGACATCCACCTTCGTTTCGCGTGGCAAGCGTGGCACTTAGGGCACTGGGCTGGCTCTGGCGGCGCGCTTGGACTGGATTGGTCGCCGGTGACGCCGCGGCACTTTGCGTGGCACGCGTGGCACTTGGTGACATCCACCTTCGTTTTGCGTGGCAGGCGTGGCACTTTGGGAACTGGTGGCGCACTTGGACTGGATTGGTCACCGGTGACGCCGCGGCACTTTGCATGGCAGGTGTGGCACTTGGTGACATCCACCTTCGTTTCACCTGGCAGGTGTGGCACTTGGTGACATCCACCTTCGTTTCGCGTGGCAGGTGTGGCACTTGGTGACATCCACCTTCGTTTTGCGTGGCAGGCGTGGCACTTGGCGATATCCACCTTCGTTTTGTCACACACCATCTTTGTCACACACAACTTTGTCACACACCATCTTTCACACACCATCTTTGACACACCATCTTGGACACACCATCTTTCACACCACTTTGTCACACACCATCTTGCACACACCGTCACAGACCATCTTTCACATACCATCTTTCACCCACCATCCTTCACACACCACTTTGTCACACACCATCTTTCAGACACCGTCACAGATCATCTTTCACACACCATCTTTCACCACACTACCACCTTTCACACACCAACTTTGTCACACACCATCTTTCACACACAACTTTGTCACACACCATCTTTGACACACCACTTTGTCACACACCATCTTTGACACACCACTTTGTCACACACCATCTTTGACACACCACTTTGTCACACACCATCTTTGACACAACACTTTGTCACACACCATCTTTCACACACCACATTGTCACACACCATTTGTCACACACCATCTTTCACACAACACTTTGTCTCACACCATCTTTCGCCACACCATCTTTCACACACCACTTTGCCACACACCATCTTTCCCACACAACTTTGTCACACGCTCTCTTTCATGCACAACTTCCACACACACACACCATCTTTCACACACAACTTTGTCACACACACCATCTTTCTTTGTCACACACCAGCTTTCACATACAACTTTGTCACACACAACTTTGTTTTACTTCTCGATCCTCCACCACCTCCTTTGTCTTTCCTTCCTTCCCCGTCCCCGCTACAACATTTGTTGCTTATTATTGGAAGAAGCTGTCTTGTGGGGTTATCCGGTCCTTTAATTCTTTGCTCCCATCCCCAGTCGCCATCTTTCCCAGTTTCTAGCCCAGACGCAGAAAAGGCTCCAAGGCCGCAAAGCGGCTGCCCAGGGCCTCGTAAAAGGCCTTCTCGTTACTCGACGCGGTCTTTAAAACCACTGAATGCATTCGCTGACGGACCTGGTATCGCTGTCTTCCGCGGACCGCGATGATGGTCACGCCAGACTTGGGCTTCAGGAAGCGCATGTGGCCTCCCACTGCGCCTGCCTCCTCAAACGCATCCAAGTCATGGATGACCTCGAACAACAAAGTCAGGCCACTGAAAATATCTGAGAGGAAACTGGGCGATGGATTAAAAGAATATTTTCCCATGGGCAAAACACAAAAACAAATACGGTAAATTTGACCATGGGTGAAAAACTTTAGAATGAGATGGGTCAGGAATAGAAAGCCTGTCCAACTGAGCAAAAAATGAGCAGTCAAACGGCGGTGCTGGAGGGGGTTGCAGGATTCCTTCGTGCCTGCATGGCTTCCTGCTTTCCTGACTCTTGATATGGAAGAAAGTCGTGCTTGGAGACACACTTAGCTAGCTACCGCTAGCTTTCGTGAAACACGGAGTTGTTCAAAAGCGTGTCTATGGTGAATCCCTTAACTGCAAAAAGGTGCCTTCAAAGGCAAACTGAAGTCAAAAAAGAATAAAAAAGAGGTGTTGTCTGCATAACAAGATGGAAGGGAATCCCTGGGAGTCCCATTGGTTCCAAGTATTCCGAAACTTCCGAAGTCGAGCTTCATCATGGGAGTCACATCCCTCATCCTGTTGGGACTCCTCCCAGCCGCAACATAGAAGTTGGCCCATGTTGCGAAAGACTATTTCAACACGTTACGCAAATTGAGCCTAATAGCAACGGAAATTTTTGGAGAGTGGGCAAACAGTAACTTACCAATGGGCCAAGACAAAAGTTCAGGAGGCACGGACATCCTGCGACATGGTAATGATTGGTAGTGCTCCGGTAACTTCCATTGCTTTTGAAAGTGCAAACAGAGGGATATTTGGTTTTCTGCAGTTGACCTCCCGTTAAGCTTCTCATCAAAAACATTGACAGTCATAGTCAATCGCTCAAGGACATGCTTCTAATATCAATATTCCTTGTGATGGTTATTATTGTCCTTACCAACCAACGGATGTCCATTCCCAAGTATCTGCTAAATATTATTAAACATCCATCCTAGTATAAGTTGCTCAGCTCTCTAGCTCAGTCCAACCAACTGGCGTGAGAGCAGTAGGAACCTGGTTTGGCCAAAATAAAAAACAAACATGAGCTGGTCGTGAATAAAACCAGCTGAACGCTGTCCTGCGAATCATGCATGCATTCCTACAAATTTGTCATTACTGTGACATCTGGAAGAAAAGACTATCCTATATACCACTGCGACAGGCCCATGTCGTGCCAAGAAGCTGTAGTAGGGGGCAAGAGCATCGGAACCCCTTTATCGAATCATTCGTCTGGTGTCCGCAATCTGTGAAATCTTTGCTGGCGATGTGCATCTATTTGAGAGGTATCTGTACATTACCTGCATCACATTGGTACATGCATGTATGTTTATGTATATTATATATATATATTTATTTATTTGTTTTATTTATTTATTTACTGATTTATGTGTATATATATATGTGTGTGCGTAGACGTATGTATATGTATATTTGTATCTATGTGTGTGTGTCAATGTACGGTATATACATGTCTGCTGCTCTTTTTCACCCACATCTGTCAAAAGTGTGCCGAGGGAATAAAAGTCGTTCCAAATCTCATCACTCTGTACTTACACAAACAGCCTGGTCAATGCCAGTTGTCAGGACCAATAAAAGTCTCAAGCTCGTTGAAGGTGGGAATGCAGGGAAAAGCTGTCAAGCGGAAAGCACGCAGCAGCGGCTAAGCCCTATTTTTTTTGACGGAGGGATTCGAAAGCAAGTGCAGTTAGCCTGTACCAAATCCTGAATTCCTCAGACCAGCACGATTTGTTGATTTTGTTGACCGCGTGAATTCTCACGACACACCTCAGCCAAAACCCTGTGATTCGATTCTGTTCCACATTTGATAGTCACGACAAGCAACCTACTTCTCAAAATATTGCATGCCAACTGAAGTAAACACAACAGTGCTGCAGTGTTGCAAAAAAGTAGGTGGACGAACACTATGAAGAATTCCTTGTTTCTGCAGGAGGATTTGTTCATAACTATTGCAAAACAAGTGGCGCAAGGTCCAGAAAGTGCCCGTGCTACACAATGATCAGGACACGGATTCGATGCCTTTAAAGGCTCTACAAGAAGCTGGCTCTCTGACAGCTGCTGCCACCTGAATTTTGCTGATCCAATAGATCACCATGATAGAGCACACATGGTCAAAAAATAATCCATCAGAAATTATCACGGTAGGTAGCAATAAAATGACATTTCAAAGAAGCTGCGCATGCTCTTGAATTTGGGAGGGCCCTTAAGAGTGACCAAGAATTGTGATATGTTGCTGTTGGCTAAGCTCACCATGCCACTTTCCGAACAGAGACGTCCCATTCCACTTCTTGTCAGACTTGCTTTAATGGAATAAACATGTCTTTACTTTGGGTCGGTTGGAATCTGCATTATTGCCGGTGCCCAAACTCAGGATTCACACATAATCCCAATGAGTGGGCTATTTTGCTTATGGCCCTGCAGCTAAGAGTCAAAGCATCAAGGTCGGCATTCGTCACATTCCTTCAAGGAATGGTTTGATCGACTTATGATGCTCTGATCTCTGAACATGCTTCGATTGTGCTCACTTCCATGGTTTTAAAATCCATGTTCCATGATGAACCATGTGTCTTTTCCCAAAACCCCATTCTATCCAATTTGGGCACCACCGGCTTGCCAGTTCCTTGTGCTTCGCAAATGCTCCACTTGCATCCACAACTCCCGGAAATGTTCTTCGCTCCCTGTAGCATTCAACTGCCCTACAACAGGATCACCAAAGCGTCGCTGCCCCGGGAAAGATTCAATCAGCATCTGGCGGGACGAAGGTGAGCGTACAAGGTGCGAAAACATCCGTCAGGCCCTGCTCAACATGCTACGACCAGTACTAAGCATAGACTGGTCAGGATTCATCATGGTTGCGGCCATTGAAATTATTGAACAGTACGTTGCTGACCATTGAATAACTGTTGGCTAACAGTTTCAAATTTTGAATGTATATAATTTCTATGTTTATGTCTATATCTCTAACTATGTATACATGGATATACATGAATAGGTATATTCATCTTGCTCTTCAACTACACAATAACTAAAACAGTACAGTATATTCATTTCGTTCTTCAACTACACAATAACTACAACAGCAAACCACGCACACTTGGCCCATGGCCTTTGACTTTTGTGTCAGCACCCCTGCCATGCCCCAAAAGAGCGGCCAACCCCAGCGCTGCGCCAAGAGCTGCAAGCGCCGGCCGTCCACGGTCCCAAAGAGGGTAGCCACATTGCCTTATTGATCAGCGAACCATTGGACATATCAGCCACCAATGATTCCAATACTCTGTCGAAAGATATGACATACAATACATATATCCTTATACATAGTAGCATATTTTTTTGCATTTGCATATGCATAATCATATACATGTACACATACACGTGCAGATACAAATGCATCATATACATTTAGATGTGCATATACATACAATATAAATACATGCGATTTGATGCATACACGCATACATTGTGCAATGTAGTTCTCTACTTGTGCATCATCTCCTCAATCCTTTTCCCGCCCTCCCACTATCACTGGCCTGGCGGCCTGCCACTACTATGTTTGCAGCTTTCCCATTCAAACATGGTCCTGGAGTCCTACTTAATTTTCTTCAAACGGTCTGGCACCCTCATCGCCAATTTGTTGAACTCATCTGATTCATGGATTTTGCACGGAACTGTTCGATAAAATGTCGGAATTTAAGTCAGATACAATGTAAGAATATCCGCCGACCCCTGCTGTAGCGGGGGAGCGCGTGAGAGAAGCAACTTTTGTCAAGCAATTCGAAAAGACATGTTGGGTCACTGTGGTCAGCTGCTTTAAACTTTTTTCCGTTCATCCGAAAGCGACGTCAGGGTTTGGCGAAGGGGATGGAATGCAACGGCACCGGTCCAAGACATCGGTGCGACCAGCCCCCGGGCGCTTGGACACCGCTTTTTTGCTCGGTTCAGAAGGCAACGTCAGGCACTGCCGCGTTAGGCTTTCGCTGGTGGGGGGATTGAGCGCAGCGGCACTGGGTAAAGACAGCCTGGGCACCAACTGTTTTTTGTTCGGTTCAGAAGGCAACGTCGGGCACTGGCTGCACCTCGAAACGGGCCCCATTGTAAGGCCTTCGCTGCGGTAGGGGGATTGAGCACAGCGGCACTGGTTGAAGACTGCCTGGGCACCAGCCCCGGGCCCTTGGACACTGTTTTTGAAGAAGCGTTTACGAAGCGTTTACGCAGATGCTTACCCACCGATACTGTTTGAGCCAACTGGTCCCAGGGGTCAGCGGCATGGGGGCGCCAGCTCCACTTATAATGTGTATATATATATACATATATGTATAGAAGTATATATGTCAAACAGTCACATACGAAGTCAGATAGAACGCCATCAAATCTGTCAAATGAAAGCCAAGTAAAATTTCAAATAGAATGGCAGAATATATATGTCAGATAGAATGTCAATATTTGCTAGACATGGGTCCACATTAACCTTCGTATATTGGCCCAACATATGACCGAATTCTGAATTAAGGAATGAACCATGGATGTGTATTGTCTGAATGTACATGTGACTGTATGACTTTCCACAGTGCACTCAATTGCCACGTCTTTGATTCTTTTTGAACTGCAGGCACTGAAAAGCACTAAAATACCTTCAGTGTTACAATCACCAAGGTGGTTTCCAGTGTTAGGATGCAGAATTTGAAGCTATTCAACCAAAAAATTTGGCAATTCTGGAAAGAGAAACACTGAACCACTGGAAAAAAGCCCCAACCACAACAGGTATGCAGCACGGAGGACAATGTTTGGCTGGCAAGAGACCAATTAAGAACTTCACGGAGGACGGAAGCCGGGGGTTTCCCAAGATGTTTGCTTCCAAATATTGCATCGCTTCCATGATGTCTTCTGGTGGTAAAGCCTCAGAACACAGCTGCTCACTGGCGACTGAATGACATCAAATCCATTCAAATCCCACATTTGCTTTGGTAAGACTTGAACAGTCTGAATGGTGCTACGCGCAAGAAACATGACGGCTCTACATTCGCTGAACACCACCCTTCCCCAGAACGGGAGAGCTTCGGTACAGGCAGTACTGTTGCAACTGAAAAAGCCAACCCAGCTAGGCCTTCATGATCTATGCAGCCGGAGTGCATTGTTGCCCATTTGCTTTGTCATTCTCTACCCAGCTCTTGGCCGAAACACAAGATTAGACAGGTAAGAATTCGCGAAAATGAAAAGGTGCAATCTGGGAAGGGGTTCCTACAATATCCTTTTTGTTTGCCACATTACATAAGTTTGATATCAGGAAGTTGCAGGTCCCTGTTTGCCTGCTTGCTTTCGGACAATCGCGTGGTATGCGCGGTCCCAGATCTGGCGTTGATAGCGAGCTTTGCCTCTCCCGTCCTTATGACCAATGAAGTACACGTACAAGGCCGTGCAAGGCGCGCCTACCCCACGCTGCCCAGAACCTGGCAGAAGTCCGCAGGATGACAACCAAGGCCCCGGCTTCATATCGGGCAGTCGAGATCCCACTTCGCTGAAACAACGATCTGACGTGGTCTTTCACTGTCCGATTCAGAGACAGACTAGGACCAGGAGCTGTCCAGTTGCCGAACATCTCAAGGTTAGGAAGAATCAAGTGGTCCAAATGCTCCTGAAGCAGGATTGTGGAGCCTGCCCCGACCAGCCGTTGCAACTCCTATTGGGTCGACTATAGTTTAGAATCTGACTTACTCTACCCAGCCACAGGTAGCAGGTTCCCCAGTAGCAGGCTCGTATCAACGGAGACTTTTGTTAGACAACACTGCTTCAATTTTCACATATTTTCACTCACGCCAGTCCAAAGTCCCAAGCACTTCACGCCACGAGCTGCAATTGAGTTCTGGAGTTGGAAAACCTTTGGGAACGCCCTCGTGCTTGCAGGCCATGCCATATTGGCCGGTGTCATACCTCGGAACCATTCGGATAACCATGGATAACCATAGAGATACCATAGAGCATCCCAAAACATAACATCTATTTGGGCTGAGAATGGCGTCATGAAAACTTGTTCTCAACCCACAAAAAACAAGTCTTGAGATCCATTTCACTTGAGATCCATTTAATTAGTCATGTCGTTGTCACGAACCCTGTTTATAGCACAGTGCGCTGTGATTTGGTTGCATACATGGGGCTGGATTTGTGCATTAAGGCACAGTCGCAGGTCAACCCAAAGCCCTTGGGGAAGCACTTTGCATGGCTCAAAAGCTCGAATAGTTCCGCCACTGATCCGTGCACCAAACCCTCCCATATGGACAAGCAGGCAGTGCTGGCCGGGTCACGGAGCAATGATGACCATCTTTTGTACATATGTGGTGTTGAAGATTGCAGAGACATCCCCAAAAGACGGGATCGACGCAAAATCAATGCGGCGCATGTTGTGCGCTATGTAAATCAGTCTCTCTGCAGCTTCTTTCCATGTGGGTTTTGGACCCTTAAAGGCTTTGCACCCATAGAGCTGTTGCTGCATCAAGTCGTTCACTACCTCCAAACACAACATGTGCGTAAGTCAACACTTGCCAACCAAAGGCTGCATATCATGCAACAGCTTCACTGGATCCAACTCTCAACCCACCTGAGGCCCTCCTGTAGTATTGAAGGATTCCTGCAAAAGTGCTGCCTGGATAGGAGGGATCCAAAATTTGAAACAATCGCAAAAGCATTGTTCCATCCAAACAAACATAGCTTTTATGATGGAAACAAAAATGGAAAATTTAGAAGAATGTTAAATGAATGTTAGAGAGTCGAGAGATGAGATCCAGCTTTTGGAACCAGCCTGCCATTCGTTCAGAAACCATGGGAAGTCCATCTCTTTCAGCGTCACATCAGGCCATACTGAAGCAAGCGCGTTTGCTGGGAAGGCGTGGGCCAGCTCAGCCGAGCGTGCCTCAGAAAGCTTGGTCGACCAACTTGCACATGCACCCTTTCCACTCTTCTAAGAATTTAGACTGTTCCTGTTCAAAAGCACTTACCAAATGAATCCAAATGGATCTAATCGAACATCCTGGATTTGCGAGTGAAAGTCGGTTGCGGTACAACCACTGGCTTGAGTGCATTAGAAAATTGCAAGGTCCCCCCCCGGCCTCATCGCGATACCGTTGCAGCAACTCCATGCTTGTTTCATGCGCGATGTCTGCACAGCAATCTCTCAGGACTTCTCTAAACTCGTCCGACTCCTGCGCAGCTGAAACTGAATGCAGAGAAGACAGTGATAGCATGCATCACTACACCACTGTCTCTGTCCACAAACCAGAAGAGTTTTTCAACGGTCCATGCACTGCACTTTCAGTAGCTGCAAAAGGCTCAAATTCCGCAGCAAACTCCAAGTTTCCAATCCGCGACCCTGCTATCTGTCCAGAAACTGGAGCACATCTGCTGTTGCTGCAGCACTCGCAGCTCGTGCTCTCTCTTCATGATAAGCAAAAAGCGCCTTCTGCTGGGCTGTCTGCTCATCCTCAGAGAGCGGGTTTGCCACAAATCTCCATAGATACTGCACCTTCCTGGTTGTTCTGGTTCCAACATTCCCGCAATAGGTCCATGGTTGCTTCTAGCAAGCTATGAAGGCGTCCAAATTCGCATTTGAAATGCCACACTGACAAATTCAAGATCTGCTACGGTTCAGTCATTGGAATGGATCTGAGTATGTCTTTGTTGCTCCTATACAACAGTTTGGGTTTGGAAGTCTCCTGCAAAGCTCAGCCAATCTAATGAAAAAACTTCTGCGGCGCAAAAAGAGGTGGGGGGACCGTGATACTGGAATCGTCTTTTGTTTCTTTTTCAGGTTGCAAAAATCAGAAAACTAGCACGATTCCAGCCAAGACTTACCAAGCTAAAACTGTTCAACTGTTCTGCGTTTTGTCCAAGCAAGTTGCAGGCACAGGTTGCCCCCGCGCCAAAGCTATTATGGCAATCAGTCTTAAAACCATGGCAGCAGCTGGTCTAGCACAGACTGGAAATGAAGAGCTGATAGTCTACAGGGGGTTCGTCTGAAAACAAAACAAAGCAGTCATTGTGGTGTCCATGGTTTGTTTCTACTGTTGTTGCTGCTGTTGCTTGCATCCTTGCTGTTGCCTAACTGAATCCTGGCAAACGGCCAAACCTGTGGTCCGACTGATACTGTACAAGTCTGCAGCAATGCAGGACCACCTTACCGGCTCCAACCTTGCAAAATTGTGGCATCAAATACTGGTGCAACCAAAAACTGCCAAGCATCACTACCTGGAACACCGGACTTCTTGAAGGGCATTCACTCAAGATACTACACTTAGACCGAAAAAATGCATCTGCTGTGGCAAAGGGATGTTTTCACGCTACCACCTCGCACGGGCAAACGCAAGTTGGTCATGATGAGTGCGAAAAAAGATGGACAATTTGCTGGCAGTTCATTGCGACCTGCCAGGGTTGCTTTGAGATCAAAAAGGCGTGACCATTCCATCCGCACATAATTCAGTGCAGCTCATTGTCTGCATTGTCTGCCCCTTTCTCATAAAGTTTAGAAATCTTTGTACAAGCAAGTCATGGTCATGGGCATTCAATCAAACGAGTCTGCCCAAGACTCAAGACTGTCTAGACTCCTTCCCCTTGGACCGGATTCGCCGTTGGTATGGCACTTTCTTCACAAATGCCATGCCTTGATAGTGGCCTTTGGGGGAACACCACACTCCATGTGGCACCACCTTGCCATCAAAGAGAAATGCCCTTCCGCCTGCCAGTGGGTATGCTTTGTTGCCCATCACAAAGAAGGCCATTTCATCCAAAACGGGATGTTCTTCTTGCAGGCCTAAAAGGATTGACGCAGACTGATCGTTGTCCACGTGTACACAACACTCTCCACAAGCTTGGCAGCCCTGCGACCTGCACGTTGGGCAGGTCTCTTTGCAGGAAGGAACCCCTAAAAGCGCTGCCACGGGTACAGGTGGCCCGTGACTGTCACTGGCGTTGTTGAAGACTGCCATGTAGCCTTGGCCAATGTAGCTTTGCACTGCCCCTCCATCTGAAGGGTCGCGAACTGCCACTCCTGGTTCTGCAGATGGTAATCCTGGAGGATGATACCAACGGAAGGAGCGCCACACATCTTCATTAGTGGCATTCTTCAACATCTCCACCATAGCTGTGCTCAACATGCCCTGGAGCACATCATTGCAATTCTCTTGCAATTGCTCTGTACCAGGGAATGTATAATTTCTACTGAGCTGAAGACCAACACCATGAAGACGTCCCTTATGCGTGGGTCTGGAGGACTTTTCTTTCCAAGTATCCCAGTATTGATTTCCTTTGGCAATCAATCCTTGAACCTTCTTTTGGACCTCTACAGGAACTGCTCCAACAATACAGTGGTACCGCTTACCACCTTTTTCAAAAAAGGGAGGTATCCGTCTACCAAGGTTGGCGCATTGAATACAGCGGTGATGATGTCCATTCCGCCCGTACATTGCTTCTTGGCTAAGTGACTGGAAACACGTGTGACATTTTGTTCCCTCATATCTGTGTAGTCTGAGGAAGATGGCGTGATTAGCCTTCCTCCAAATCGTGACATTCAAGCGTCTGCCCGGCAAATACCGTTCAAGTGGATCGGCAGCACCCAGAACATCCCCTTTCTCTAGAATTCCATCTACTGCTGCACCAATATCTACATGAACTGAGTCAGCAGAATTCCGCTTCACTACACCTTCCACGCGGTCTCCCAGGTTGAAATCCGCCATTGTGCGCCGGGGAGCTTTCTGGAGCTCCTCGTCCATTTTCAGCAGCACATCCATGGTCATCGCGTGTACCTTACGCTCCACTCGTTGCTGCCTCTGCATCACAGCGAAGCTGCTCGAAGTGCTCGGATGCAGTGTAGCCACTGTAGCCACTGTAGCCACTGTAGCCACTGTAGCCACCAAGCCGCACAGGAGTGCAGCTCCACATGTAACATTAAATGATGAACGGGAACAGGGTGGCTTCCGGCGGGAACGATGAAAGCGCTGGAACGGTGGCATGGTGCAAGTCCGATGCCAAGATGGCATATGCTGAGGATTTGATCAGCTGCCAAGCTAAGATTGAAGCTCCGAAAGTATGGAAGCCTGCCTGAAAAAGATATTTTGAATTGACTTCTGACTATGCTTGCCATCCTCAGATTGTTTGAATGCTGAACATGTCAATCTGTCTTTGAGCCAGGCCACTCAAGCGCACACACATAGACATCTACCACTGTCCGCAAACCCCCCGTCACACTGTCAGGTCCTACAGGGCATACTTCCAAGTATGCTTTTACTTCAACTCTTTTCGCTGGCCTTCATGTCTCGTTGTGACCTATTCATCATATTCAGGAAGGACCATGACATGTTCCAAAGGGTCAAAAGGAGCCAACTGGTGTCCACAGAAGACCTTTGTCTCGCACCACTGCGCTGTTGAATCTTCACTTTGCAAGCTTCTTTCAAAGCCTTGCACGGACCTATTGCGCAGAGCGCCATCTGGGAGAGGTTGACTCCAACAGCTGACATTGAGCAACTAAATCCGCTTGAGGAGGAATGGACAAATCCTAGAAATTTCTTTGAGCGTGTCTTTGAACATGTTCCTCACTTTCTGACCACAAAATACGTGGCCAACCCTCCGACAGTCGGCTAATGGGTGCGGAGCCCTCAGGCTTCCATGTCTTTTCCTTCAGGCAAAGCGGACTCCACCTGCCGTGATGATTGGTGACGATTGCATGGCTGGACGGGCAAAAAGTGTCTGAAAGCAGCTGCAATAGGATTCACTATGGCGAGGTCTTTCTTTTCCGGGTGCTTCCTGCCTCATGGGTAACCTTGAACACTCCAGCAGCAGCCACACCACCGACAACTTCAAGAGCAGAGTAGATCAAGGCCTTCCACAAGCTGCTTTCGCATACTAGGAGAGCATCAATGCCATGCCAACAAGCAACAACACACCACAAGAACCAGAGGGTTGCTTGCACAAGATCTCGCCTAGATTCCATCACAGTCTTTGCTCTTATTGAGTAGTTACTATCTTCAATTCTGTGATGTGCTTCGGCTCAAATGCTGAAATCTCCACAACAATATGAATCTCGCTTGATAAGGCCTGAGCAGAGCACACTGCGCTCACAGCACATCCTGGCCTTGTAGAAGAAGCCACCGTTGATGATGTTTGCCGCAGCAATGCCGAACCTTGAACAGGAAGGGTGTTCAGTCTTGATTTGTAGAAGCAAGAACAAGGGTAGACTGCAGATCTGCAGAAGCTCGCGATGGAACTGCAAGAGAGGCTACAGGATGGATGTCCTATTGTAGATCCCAGGCATCTCTTGGATTCACTGGATTGCATGTTATGGGTGAAACATGGACCAGTACAAGCTCTTTGCCGCTAGGTCACGACACTGCAGGGTTCAAGGAGCCACCGGAGATGCCACCAATGGCAAATCCGCCAACGGTCACGCAGGAGCCAATGGCAAGGCCAAACAAATGAGAGGCCTTTGTGCGCTCAGACACGGCCACGCAAAGCACCACGAAGCAAAGAACGAAGGTATAGACAATCTCGGCCACAGAAACGCCAGCCCAGGTGCTGAAACCCACAGGGCCCAATGCAAACGTGGCGCCCTGGTAGATGAAGGCGTATGTCAAAGCTGCGGCAATGCCACCGGCAATCTGAACGCCGGCATACATGCCAGCCTTGGCAGGAGTGAGGTCAGGGCAGCGGCCAGACGCCAGGATGGCCACTGTGACAGCAGGGTTGAAGTGGGCACCAGAAACATCGCCAAGGGCATAGATCATGGAGGTGAGGCCAGCAGCAATGGAGAATGCAGCAGCCTTGGACTTGCCCAACACGTTCAGACCAACGGTGAGGACCAACATGTAAGTTCCCAAGAATTCGCTCACCAGCTCCGTGACTTGGGACTTCTCGCCGCTGAAATCTTCTGGACGCACAACCTTCAAGGTTCACGAAAAGGTCCCATCGCTTACCACACGTCAGAACAACAAAAGGTATAGCCGGTATAGCGAATTTGGGTGGTATCAATTGAAGGAAAATTATGTATATGCAAAGGTATGACATAAGCTTCAAAGGGGGTATCGCTAGTTGGGAAGGCCCAATCGCTTACCTCATGTTTGTACAATTTTTCCTATTGTCATCTATTGTCCTATTGCCTGAGTTTTTGTGGTGGCTCACCTTGAAGAGTGCTGCAGCCATGCCAGCACCGAGCAGCTCGAAGACAATGTAGGCCAAGCTCCAACCGAAGCCCAACCCGGCACTGGACACGTCAATGCCCAGAGCAACGGCAGGGTTGAAGCATCCACCAGAAACAGCTCCAGCACCATAAGCACCTGCAACCACGGTGAAAGCGATGGCCATACCGTAGTATTGATTCTTCTCGGTTGCATTCTTCTTGGCCGCTGCCACGTTCATGACGACGAAGGTCAGCATGAACGTATACAGCAACTCGCAGAGTCCTGCATGGTACCAAGAGAAGCCCTTGGCTGGTGCCAAGTTGAAGCTTTGGCCGAACAGCAGGGAGTAGCACACTGCGGCAGTGATGCCACCAGCACATTGCACACCAGAGTAGATGCCCACCGTTTTCCAGTCAAGGCCAGGACCGCCGAGAGCACGGGAGATGCCCAGAGTCACGGACACCGCAGGGTTGAAATTGGCCCCAGAGATGCCACCCAAGGCATAGATGCAAACCATGAGGACGAAAGCAATGGAAACACCAGCCCAGATTGGGCTGCCACCCAGGACATTGCAGCCCACCGTGAAGATCAGCAGGAAGGTTCCCACAAACTCCGCGGTGCACTTCGCAGGAAGGCTTGGCTCCGACATTTTGACAGCCTCAGCTGTGTCTGGTGCTCTATAGGCTTCATGCTTTCCATCTTTTCATCTTTTCCATGTCCAAACTCCCAATTGTTTTCAAATTGTCCTCGTTCCGTCTAAGACTGCCTATAATCATGCAACATCATGCAACTGTCCTGGATGGCAAGTGATGTCAAGAGATGTCCAAGATGTTAAAAGATGTCATGAGATGTCATGAGATGTCAAGAGATGTCAGGAGATGCCAAGAGATGCCAAGAGATGTCAGGAGTCAGCAGTCGGGGGCTCCCAACTCACAACTGACTCACAACAGGATCCTTCCCTTCTGACTGAGACTTGAACGCACAATATCGCGGGTCTTCAATGAAGGCAGATGGGCCGTGAGGGGCTCGAAACGGCTACATCGTACAAACAAGTCACGTCCAGCACAAGCAAGAGCCAGTTTCTCCCCAAAAGCCGGGAAACCATTCTCAACGTTTTCACTCTAGACTCTAGTCACTCTGCTTGGTCTTTATCATTGTGGGCTATTCAGAAAGGACCATGACAAGTCAAAAGGAGCCAACTGTCCAAACATGCCCAAAAAAAGTTGTGTCCACAGAAGACCTTTGTCTCGCACCACTGCGCTGTTGAATCTTCACTTTGCAAGCACGGACCTATTGCGCAGAGCGCCATCTGGGAGAGGTTGACTCCAACAGCTGACATTGAGCAACTAAATCCGCTTGAGGAGGAATGGACAAATCCTAGAAATTTCTTTGAATGTGTCTTTGAACATGTTCCTCACTTTCTGACCACAAAATACGTGGCCAACCCTCCGACAGTCGGCTAATGGGTGCGGAGCCCTCAGGCTTCCATGTCTTTTCCTTCAGGCAAAGCGGACTCCACCTGCCGTGATGATTGGTGACGATTGCATGGCTGGACGGGCAAAAAGTGTCTGAAAGCAGCTGCAATAGGATTCACTATGGCGAGGTCTTTCTTTTCCGGGTGCTTCCTGCCTCATGGGTAACCTTGAACACTCCAGCAGCAGCCACACCACCGACAACTTCAAGAGCAGAGTAGATCAAGGCCTTCCACAAGCTGCTTTCGCATACTAGGAGAGCATCAATGCCATGCCAACAAGCAACAACACACCACAAGAACCAGAGGGTTGCTTGCACAAGATCTCGCCTAGATTCCATCACAGTCTTTGCTCTTATTGAGTAGTTACTATCTTCAATTCTGTGATGTGCTTCGGCTCAAATGCTGAAATCTCCACAACAATATGAATCTCGCTTGATAAGGCCTGAGCAGAGCACACTGCGCTCACAGCACATCCTGGCCTTGTAGAAGAAGCCACCGTTGATGATGTTTGCCGCAGCAATGCCGAACCTTGAACAGGAAGGGTGTTCAGTCTTGATTTGTAGAAGCAAGAACAAGGGTAGACTGCAGATCTGCAGAAGCTCGCGATGGAACTGCAAGAGAGGCTACAGGATGGATGTCCTATTGTAGATCCCAGGCATCTCTTGGATTCACTGGATTGCATGTTATGGGTGAAACATGGACCAGTACAAGCTTGGACCAGTACAAGCTCTTTGCCGCTAGGTCACGACACTGCAGGGTTCAAGGAGCCACCGGAGATGCCACCAATGGCAAATCCACCAACGGTCACGCAGGAGCCAATGGCAAGGCCAAACAAATGAGAGGCCTTTGTGCGCTCAGACACAGCCACGCAAAGCACCACGAAGCAAAGAACGAAGGTATAGACAATCTCGGCCACAGAAACGCCAGCCCAGGTGCTGAAACCCACAGGGCCCAATGCAAACGTGGCGCCCTGGTAGATGAAGGCGTATGTCAAAGCTGCGGCAATGCCACCGGCAATCTGAACGCCGGCATACATGCCAGCCTTGGCAGGAGTGAGGTCAGGGCAGCGGCCAGACGCCAGGATGGCCACTGTGACAGCAGGGTTGAAGTGGGCACCAGAAACATCGCCAAGGGCATAGATCATGGAGGTGAGGCCAGCAGCAATGGAGAATGCAGCAGCCTTGGACTTGCCCAACACGTTCAGACCAACGGTGAGGACCAACATGTAAGTTCCCAAGAATTCGCTCACCAGCTCCGTAACTTGGGACTTCTCGCCGCTGAAATCTTCTGGACGCACGACCTTCAAGGTTCACGAAAAGGTCCCATCGCTTACCACACGTCAGAACAACAAAAGGTATAGCCGGTATAGCGAATTTGGGTGGTATCAATTGAAGGAAAATTATGTATATGCAAAGGTATGACATAAGCTTCAAAGGGGGTATCGCTAGTTGGGAAGGCCCAATCGCTTACCTCATGTTTGTACAATTTTTCCTATTGTCATCTATTGTCCTATTGCCTGAGTTTTTGTGGTGGCTCACCTTGAAGAGTGCTGCAGCCATGCCAGCACCGAGCAGCTCGAAGACAATGTAGGCCAAGCTCCAACCGAAGCCCAACCCGGCACTGGACACGTCAATGCCCAGAGCAACGGCAGGGTTGAAGCATCCACCAGAAACAGCTCCAGCACCATAAGCACCTGCAACCACGGTGAAAGCGATGGCCATACCGTAGTATTGATTCTTCTCGGTTGCATTCTTCTTGGCCGCTGCCACGTTCATGACGACGAAGGTCAGCATGAACGTATACAGCAACTCGCAGAGTCCTGCATGGTACCAAGAGAAGCCCTTGGCTGGTGCCAAGTTGAAGCTTTGGCCGAACAGCAGGGAGTAGCACACTGCGGCAGTGATGCCACCAGCACATTGCACACCAGAGTAGATGCCCACCGTTTTCCAGTCAAGGCCAGGACCGCCGAGAGCACGGGAGATGCCCAGAGTCACGGACACCGCAGGGTTGAAATTGGCCCCAGAGATGCCACCCAAGGCATAGATGCAAACCATGAGGACGAAAGCAATGGAAACACCAGCCCAGATTGGGCTGCCACCCAGGACATTGCAGCCCACCGTGAAGATCAGCAGGAAGGTTCCCACAAACTCCGCGGTGCACTTCGCAGGAAGGCTTGGCTCCGACATTTTGACAGCCTCAGCTGTGTCTGGTGCTCTATAGGCTTCATGCTTTCCATCTTTTCATCTTTTCCATGTCCAAACTCCCAATTGTTTTCAAATTGTCCTCGTTCCGTCTAAGACTGCCTATAATCATGCAACATCATGCAACTGTCCTGGATGGCAAGTGATGTCAAGAGATGTCCAAGATGTTAAAAGATGTCATGAGATGTCATGAGATGTCAAGAGATGTCAGGAGATGCCAAGAGATGCCAAGAGATGTCAGGAGTCAGCAGTCGGGGGCTCCCAACTCACAACTGACTCACAACAGGATCCTTCCCTTCTGACTGAGACTTGAACGCACAATATCGCGGGTCTTCAATGAAGGCAGATGGGCCGTGAGGGGCTCGAAACGGCTACATCGTACAAACAAGTCACGTCCAGCAGTTTCTCCCCAAGAGCGGGGAAACCATTCTCAACATTTTCACTCTGCTCACTCTGCTTGGTCTTTATCATCGTGAGCTATTCGGAAAGGACCATGACATGTTCCAAAGGGTCAAAGGGAGCCAGCTGAACATATCTTCACTCTGAATTCGCATTCTTGTGCTATTTTCAATTCTTCAGTTGCATCTCAGACCCAACTTCCACCATCAGCTGCACTTTTTGCACCTGACTTTGTGAGACGAGTTGTTTTGGTGACGGATCTTGAGGGTAAAGTGAATGCCTTGCTTCACTCTCAAATCTGGCTTCTGACGCTTCTGACGCTCTGCTAGTTTGATCCTGGCTTTCAATGATCGTTGACCATCTCTGATTCGCTGTCGCTGGTGAAACCATCAGGGCTCAAGATCAAAGAGCCCATGCCTGGCCAGGCATGTCATCGTTTGAGGGTGAGGGCACCAATGAAAGCACTCAACAATGATTCGTCAATGAAGCTCAAACCAAGGTCTGAACATGGAACGGATTGCAAGATTCGTGATGCAGTTCAGTTTCTGATGTACAATCAAACCCACAAGCAAGGGATGAAGGGTCAAAATTCTTGCTCAGGCACCTCATGCTCTGGCCATCACCGACTTGGTGACGCCACCTCATCTTGCAACAAATCCAACGGATTCTGTCACCCCGAAATCCTCCATTGCCAGCTCTGGATTTCTGGCAAAACTCCTTTGAAGCAATGGTCTACATCTGAGCTTCATGCACGGCTTCTTGTGGGAAGAGAATTCAACTTCTCATACATCTCAGGCCTTGGAGCAGTGTCAAAACGGGGCAGAATGAGAGACCTTCCGCCGCCTATCCAGACATTTCGGTTGCACCTCCATAAGCATCCTATGGATTCCTATGGATGGACCCATGCATCCAATTCCACCCAACTCCATAGGATCAAACAAGTAAGTAGGCATCATTGGCAGTGTGACCGTTGCCAACTTCATTCGAAATGGATAGAGAGGGTGATGCAACGAAAACCATCTGTCCAGGTGTAGAGTGTCAGTTCCTCTCACTTGTGACGTGAGGTAAAGGTCACGCGTAAGCTACATGAATATGTATATACCTTCATCACTCACCAAGAAGTGGGTATTGATATTGGGTGAAAATAGACCTGCTTCCGCTTCTAGGAAAAGCGTTCCTTCCAAGCCAACATGTTCGAAGCCCAGGGTACCAGTACATGTCTCATAAATGAACTCGGCTGACCATAGTGCAAGTCATGCTCCCATGATCCATTTCCTGGCTCACCATAATCAAGCTCAGGCACGTCCGGTCTTCAGGTCGTGTCACATACTTGGGGGGATCAAGCTCCTGAAGCAGAAGCGAAAAGCCAAGGAAACGAGTTGATACTTTTCGAACATGGTGAGAGTGAAGCTGATCTGCCCAACTTGAGGATAAATCAAATGCCAATAACGATTGGGATCGACTGAGAATCAGGGACCAACGATTGACCAATGTGCCCGTTTGGGGATTGGAGGAACATCCACCCCGTAGGCGGTGCCGTGGTGCCGCCGGTCCTTGGTGATCTTCACCGGCGCATCCCTCAACTGTTCTGGACCTCAGCATGTGAGAAGAATATGCGTTGACCAGTGCTCCATTTCCGCAGACTGATTCAACTGGTTCAAGCATTGAAGCATCAAATCAACTTTCCCAATTTCCAAAGACATCAGCAAAATGATCACTCCACTGTAGCATCTCACTGTCTCACTGTTCAAATTCTGTGAGGTCAGGGCTGCATGTACTGAGGAGAAATCGCAGCATGTGAGCATCAGGATCCTCCGGATGTTGGTAGCACTTTGTCTCTGGCTGCATGTTCTTAAATCAGCATATGCAGAAGGATCAAAAGCCTACACACCTGGCCTGTTCAGAATCAGACTCTACAACATTGCTGTATGAAAAGAAATACGAAATACTTCGGAAAGGGACGTCGAAGGACTTAAGCATCTTCCTCAAAGTTCCGGATGGTGCAGGTGTAAGAACGTCGTGAAATGTCACCCTTGTAATCCCTCAGTTGGTAGGCCCAAGCCTGCCAGAAACAAGTTTGACCGGCCTCAGGTTTGGTTGCCATGAGGTGATTCACCATCTGCGTGACCTTAAGACAGGACAGGTCAGACTCGGAAGCAAAGTGGAAGCAAAGCTGCCAAGTGGCGTTTCAGAGAAATGTTCTTTCGAAACCATTAAAATCCATTAAATGTCTGTCAAAAGTGACAAGAAACATGGTTTTTCTTGTGGTGGCAACTTCGGCTGAGATGGCCTTTGACTCAAGAACAGTACTCTTCTTCTCTCCCACTCACTCACGCCTGGGGACTCACCCCTTGCTGGGACTCACACAGTTCTCTCCAAGTCGTGTTGTGCTGCGTATCTGTCAAGACCCAAGAAAGGGAGGAGTGCAAAGTTATGTGTCGAGAGAAGGGCGGGGATTGCCCATGTACATATGTATGTATGAAGCCTGACTGGCTTGGTAGCTGGCTGGATACGCGTCTATCTAGACATATGATACGTATTCCAAAGAACTGTGCTGCTTTTTCCTTCCCAGCCACCCAAGTGCTATCACTGTACAGGCATTGTTCCTACACTTAAGCTGCTACATGCATGGTCAGGATGTGTTCAGGCTCATGCATTCAAAGTACTTACCCACTGCAGCAGTACAACACGTGACACAAGCTACATTGCAGGAAAACTGACAAGAACACATCTGCCAAACAAAAACTGTAGGTCTTCGGGGGGTAGGTTATAGATAGCTAGATAAGATAAGATGATAAGATAGGATATATAAGACAAGCTAAGATAAGATACGATAGACAGACAGACAGGCAGACAGACCGACAGACAAATAAAGAAATAGATAAAATATATACATATGGAGGTTTCCTAACCCCCAAATCATTAATTTTAATGCGTTTTTTTCCGCATAAACCATCCATTTTACCCCCATTTATGGAACCCCCCATATGGCATTATATGGCCAGAAAATACATCTGCTTTTTGACACCACGAGGCAGTGTGCCTCTTGGCATCCTCCGCGGCTTTTGCAAACTTTCCGGACATCGCCTGAAGCAAAACGTCTTTGAATTTCCTTGAATTGATGTAAATCGATCTGTGTTTTTAAAGGCTGCTTTCGCATCTCAAAACGCCTATACGCCCCCAAGATATTGAACAAACACATGTTCCAAAGCTACAACACGGTTAAAGTTTCAATACGGAAATCGACAATGTCGCGCTGCGCTTGCTTGCCAAGGAAAAGCGACGGAGTCGTCACCTCAACACAGACCAAGCCTCTGTAATGCCCAGTCCAAATGGAGTGGTGCTTCGAACCAAACAGCATCAATTAGGACATTCTGGATTTAACCTTTGATGGTCGCTGTCTAGCAGAATGGATACAAGTGTAACCTCTTGATGCTCCAGAGAAAAGTCCGGGACACCTGGAAGAAATGATGAAACAACCTCGAACAGTTTGACCACATCAAGCCTGTGATTCAAAGTCAGCATCAACTTTTTCTGCAACAACCTGTGTGGATCCTGCAAGATCCGGTGAAACTTGTTGAACGCAACAAAATGCTGCTGTCTTTGAGGAAAACAATACAAGGATTTCTCCTTGCATCTGGCTTTGATTCAATTTATTTGCTTTTACTTCGAAAGTCTTGATCATGCAATGTGTTGCTCCTCACACGTTTGTAGCTATCCCAAAATGTTCACGCTTCCCCCCGCAAAGTGAAACGCATCCTTCAGATTTATGACTCGCACACTAGGCAGCTATCCGACCACCTCCGCTACGAGCTGATGACAGATGGAAACACCATGAAACACCACTCTTGGAATCACAGGAAGTGGTAGACTAGACTGACTTGAGCTTGACCTCAGAAAATTGATGGAGAGAAAGGCATGAGAGAAGATGTGGTCCTGGTGAGGTTTTGAATCCAAGAGAAGGAGGATGAGAAACCAAAGGAATCAGCTGGTGTCACCGCCATTCGCCGGGGCGATTTAAACCCATCACTTCTTGGTTTTGTCAAGTCTTGCCATGGAGACAAAAATGCAATTTCCCCGGAATTTGGGAAGATTACTAGGAAGGCATTAGATGCTAGAGCAGAAGAGACATGAAGGCATAGATGACAGACCATCATTCTGATTCTGGAGGTTGTCGCTGCTCGATCTGCGGATGATGCAGGATCTGTCAGTCGGGAAGACCACAGTGACGTCAGGACCATCTGGGGCAATCCAAGTTCTATCCTCCTGCATTCGCCCTTGCAACAATCATCATCAAATTAGCATCGCGACTTCTCTGAGGTACTACACCCACTAAGTGAGATGGAACCCCAAAAATGGGGTCTTATGGCCCGTTTGGATCCTTTGGTGGTTCTTGTTTAGGTGTGTAAAGTGTCATGTTTCAGGGACGTAGTAACAAACAAGCCCAAACTTTTGTTGCAGGAGACACCTCTACAACATGGAGTGTCATTCTTGGATCAGTTGAATGCACAGGGCAGGGCTGCAGGAGGGATGTTTAAAAGATCTCTTCTTTGGGACGAAATGCCCCAGGAATGTCTCTGACGCCTAGAGAGGAAGACGCAAGGACCTCTACCTCCAGCTTTTCTCTTTGATGCGAACATACCCCGTTTGTCTTTGTATGTCTTTGTTGTCCTTTTCATATTGCGAGCGGAGGCTTAGTCAAAGAGTAGAGGTCACACGATCCACCTCCACACTTGAAATTTGCCGTAAAAAACTTGGAAGTGAACTGTAAAGGAGTCGGCCACGCAACCAAGTCAAACAAAAATAAAGTAATGAAGCTACCAATAGTGTTTCAGGTGTGCCACATAGCAGTGTATTTGTGTGTGAGGAAGCAAGCTGTTTTCAACAACAAGAACACAAAATGAGCTCATCCTGCGCGAGCGTTTCAGCATACTGCCGCTGACACTGTTCAGGCAGCGTAAACTGGGCTCGCAATTGGAAGAGGCACATTGCCCCTCGAACGCAACAGTTCAACCAGAATAGGTAAGAAACGACATGAAATGATGAGAACCCCCTGTGGGTAGTGTTAATTTGTGGTATTTCGCACCGAGCCGGTGCATGCTTCATCAGGCTCATCTAGAAGCCTGAACTAGGATGTCGAACAAAGAACCGGGAAAAAGGTCATTCACTAAAACCAAGAACCAAACAAAATGAGTTTGAGAAGCCGCGTCCGAAGATGGGAACAGCCCCTGCATTGCGCATCAGCATCTACTGAACATGGCGCAAAGGCATGGGCAGCCCATTCCTCGCATTTTGCCTGCACCTTGGAATGAAATCACCCAGCAAGTGGTGCTTATTGATGGGATATTCATGGGATTGGGGATTTACATCTGGGTGAAGACCCTAGCAGGTTCAAAGCATTGCGGGTGCTGTCCCTCCAACAACCATTCAACTGCTGCGCCGCAAGCTACAACCAGGAGACTGGTCTTCAAGGGACCCGTCACTTTTAATCGGCCCGAGAACACACGTGAAGCACCCATTCCGATGACAAGGGACCGCATGACTCGGCCCTGAAATGGTTTTTCACCAGGTGGGAACAGCTGGCCAAATGGTAGGAAGGCATCCTTCAGCGGAACACAATCGGTGATTGCATTTCTACTGTCACAGGCATCCGTCATAGATCACTTCTGACCGCTTGACAATTCAGTGGCAGCATCAACATCGATCAACATCATCATGCCACATTTGCCACTGACCATAGTTCTTGCCACCAATCGTCAGCATTGGTTTACAACTGAAACCGTGAATCAACTTGTAAAGAATCCCATACATAAGTTGATCAGGCAGTGTCTGAATTGATCAACCTATCAGTCAGTTTCTCTATCTATCATTATCTATCTGTCTGTCACTGTCTGCATGTCTGTTTGTCTGTCTCTAGCCATGTAGCTATCTAGACATGCTTGTGATTTGTCTTCATGTATACTTATATCATAATATCAAGCATAGATGTTGTCTTGCAACTTTCCAAACTGTTCGACGTATCTATCATTGAGGCGCGCGCCACCGGGTCCGATCTCATCGGAAGATCCGCATAGAAGAAGTTGTGCCGATGCCAAGTCCTGCATGGACCGCGACATATCGTTCCATGATTGCAGGCGTCATGCTGAAATCCTGCTAAACGCATGATAAAAATGTACTGCATCTAATCATTGATTGGGGGCCATATGGGGGGCACAGCATATGATATTGTGCTATTCTCAAACTTATAGGTGAATTAAAATGAATTAAATGATGCCCCCGAAATCAAGGATCAGCACCCCGGGCCTCATCTTCTCGATAGGAAATGGTCCTTGAATGTTCCCGGCAGGGTCGATGTACCTGTTTCGAGGTCCATCGTTGCAGTTTGACCGATTTTTTCCACGACGCGATGCTGGGCGCACTGCCACCCATTGTCCGGACATGGGGCCATCTTCATCTCCTTCTTTCCACCAGGATATCCACCTGCTCGTGGATCATCCCATGTGCTATGGATGCCACCATATCTTGGAGATCCTTACATTTCTTACAGGAACTTCTCACAGGAACTCAGAAAAGAAAGAATGAAGGCCAACGGCCAACGTTCATGAATTGCACGCAATCTCACCCGAAGCAAAAACTGCACCTCACCTCTTTTAACGCGCCAAAATATCATAGGCGCGTCCAGCAGTGAGACTAAAGATAGGCAAAGGACCTGTGTCAACCTTTTGTGATAAGAGAACAGGTTGACAGAACGAGACACGCACTGTATCAAGTTCAATTTTTTTTATGCCCATCACTCCAAAAGTTAATGGAGGTTGACATCGAGCCACTTAGCCTCTCAGCAATCGCTTTCATCCATCAGCTGTGATTGGCCAAACTCGGTGACCTGAACCTGCAGTGGAGGAGGGTGCAAGGCAGCTACAGGAAAGGTTCTCCGCATATTTGAGGCATACAACTTTCCAGGATTTCAATGAGTGAACCACTGGATAAGTTCATACCAGTTTCTGTTGCATCTGAAAATCGTGTCAAAGTCACGAAGTCGAAGTTCCAACGGTTGGGAAGTCCAGTGTGGGGAAATTCTGGCCAAAGCTCTGTACCTCGGCCATTGGAAATCCTCCCCACAACTGTTCTGTTCGAATGTACCCAAGGAATGTAGCAATGTGACATCTTCACAACATATTTTATGCCTTTTTGTTTGGTTAACGAGCAGAGATTACTTGGTGAGATAACAAACCGCAACCCTGGAAATTGATGTTTGCACTACAATGTCTCGTTGGCAAACTCAGCACAGTTGCTTTCAAAGATTCCAGTGAATGAATCGGCTGGCATGAGGACATGGCACCAGAGAACCAAAGGACCCCGAAGATGATAAATCGACGCATAGACATAAACATAAAACTAAACGTATACGCATAATGTACGCATATGCACAAACATGCATAATATACATGTACCTATTCATCATATATCGCTGTTGTGTAACGCGCCGCACCATTCTCCGAAGTCCACTGAAAAGGCGTCTGGCTCTGATGGCCTCAGAAGTAAATGCCACAAGCACTGACCCTGCAGAGGCTCTACAAGGAGGCGTCAGAATCAAAATGTAAATGCACAGGATGAATCCCAGGCGGGGTGGCGCAGCAACTGTTTTACTTTGGGCGCAAAAGAGCCTGCAGTTGGCTCAGGGGGTTTTGCGTGTACTCAGCCAGGTTGTTGTTAGGCTATCTTCCACACTCCCCCTTTTGAACCTTTGTTTCAAAACTCGCCTTTGTACATCGTGCATCCCAAAAACTGCTGTGCCCCTTTGCACATGCTTCGTGGGTCAGCACTCTGCACTAAGCCTCAGCTCAAGGCTCTCGCATTCCCGGCTCTCAGTAGAACGTCTTCACCTCATAGTCCATCCTAGGGTCCTAGAGGCTTACCAGCCCTCTCTGTCAACACCAAAGGCAATGAAGCGTGGGGGTTCTTCGCCATCAGCTCCATCTGAACTGTGAGGACCTGAGCCATCATCACTGGCTTCTGGAGGATTGTACCCCTCTGCAGTCTCCACTCCAGGTTGTGCTCGAGCGGCCAAAGTATCCAAAAACCGCTGTGTTGCTCTTGCAAGCTCTTGTTCCTCTGGTGTTTCCCCTGTGTGAGGATCCACCACCAAAGGCCTTATCACTGTGGTCCTCGTAGTAGCTGCTATTCCCACAGTTGCCGTAGTGCCCGGCAGTGTCATAGATCCGAAGAGCTCTGCATTAGGTCGCGATCCCGAAGAAGAGCTCAACATCGCCATGCTCCGTTCAGGTGATGAACTCATCCTTGTCTTAGACTTAGACCCTACTTTTGCTGTGGGTCTGGTTCCCATCGCTGCACCTGTGTTTGGCTTTGTTGATCCTGCTGTTGGGATCGTTGTCGGTGTAGGTCGCACAGCCTCCGTTGTTGTTGTTGTTGTTGTTGTTGTTGTTGTTGTTGTTGTTGTTGTTGTTGTTGTTGTTGTTGTTGTTGTTGTTGTTGTTGTTGGTTGTTGGTGGTGGTGTGGTGTGGTGTGGTGCTGGTGCTGGTGTGGTGATGGTGATGGTGTGTGATGGTGTGGTGCTGGTGTGGTGTTGGTGCTGGTGTTGTTGGTGTTGTTGGTGTTGTTGGTGTTGTGTTGTTGTGTTGTTGTTGTTGTTGTTGTTGTGTTGTTGGTGTTGTTGGTGTTGTTGTTGTGTTGTTGGTGTTGTTGGTGTTGTTGGTGTTGTTGGTGTTGTTGGTGTTGTTGGTGTTGTTGGTGTTGTTGGTGTTGTTGGTGTTGTTGGTGTTGTTGGTGTTGTTGGTGTTGTTGGTGTGTTGGTGTTGTTGGTGTTGTTGGTGTTGTTGGTGTTGTTGGTGTTGTTGGTGTTGTTGGTGTTGTTGGTGTTGGTGGTGTTGGTGTTGGTGTTGTTGGTGTTGGTGTTGTTGTTGTTGTTGTTGTTGTTGTTGTGGTTGTGTTGTTGTTGCTGCTGCTGTTGTTGTTGTCGTCTCCATAGTCGGTGGCGGTGCTGGAGTCGAAGAACTTGGCCTCTCTCGCAGCGTCTCTTCCGTAGTCGCCGTAGGTCTCGGAGGTCTCATAGTGAATTCCAGGGAATAGTCCACTGCCGGACTGCCCGTGCCAGGTGTCCGTGGTCGGCTCAAGAAAACAGGGAATCTTCCTGGCGCATAGGGCCCCATCATGCGGTGAATCTGAGCTTGAGTGGCGCATCATTGCATTGTCACTCTGCATCTGGAGCATCTGCATGTAGCTCATAGTGTTCTGGGTGCCCCTGAGGATGTAGGGCTGGCCCATCACCACGTGATGGGCATTCACCATAGGACGTGGTTGTGCTCGAAACCCTGGTCCTCCTCGTAGTGGAACACCTTTGTAGCCTTTCCCTCCACTTTGTTGTGGAGCGGTGGTGGTGGTGGTGCCCTCTGATCCCAGGATCCCAGGTTGTTGTCATTGGTACCATCCTCCAGGAGGGGCTCCATGGTTTGGGTCTTCACGGACTTCTCTGGCTGGGCGAGAAGGTGCATCCATCTTCATCCGTGTGGTACCCATCTGGTCTGGGCACTGTGATGACCATCTGAGCAGCCTCCATCCTTGTCCTCGGTTCTGGAGGTGGCACCACTCTTGGCACCGGCAGTGACTGTATGATCTGCTCGATGTTGGGGCCCTCGGGGTCCAACACGCTATCCGGGTCATAGACCACCGAACACCATCCATCTCCCTTTTGCACCATTTCTCGCCAGGGCTGAGTTTTCCTTGGTGGCTCAGCTCCTGGCTCCCGTTCTCCCATGCTGCTTGTGGTGGCTGGAGGGGTCGATGGCATCTCCTCCTCGTCATTGCCGCTGTCACCACTCTCACTGAAGGGGATCCATCGTCGGTACATTGCACTCTCACTGAAGGGGATCCATCGTCGGTACATTGGTCCGTACCTCTCCTCCTGTATTGACCACCACCGGCCCTTGCCTTTGGACAACCCTTTGTTTGGGCCTTTCTCAGTCACCGGGATGATGGCCGATGTCTCGTCCTCCATCAGATCGTTCGATGACATTGCAGTCCTTGACGAAGTAGTTGGCATAGTCCTTGTTGTAGGTCTTGCCTTTGTCGGAGGGCTTGTTGTAGAACTTGATGGACCTCCTCTCACTACCTCGTCCATCACCTCAGCCAAAATTGGGCTCCTTGATCGCTCTGGCCTTGTGGCCGGCATCGGCAGCTGTGGTGTTCGTTCACTTTCAGGTTCTCCTGCAGCTGGTGTTGGCGTTTGTTCTCCTTCTTCTGGGGTTCTTTATCAGCCTCAGGCCGCCCATCTCGTTCTCCTCCGTCGGCAGCCTTGTGTTGTGGGTCCCGTTGCAAAACCTTCTTCTTCTGCCCCAACTCCTCCTCATCCGCAGCCAGTCGTGTCAATGCCCGCCATCCCAGTTCTGGTCTCCTGACTGCTTCTCTCAAAGCATTTGCTCTGATGCGCATGTGCCTTGTTCTCCAAGGTCCGGTTTCCAACCCTGTCGCTGAAAGAGCTGCCTTGCTGTCACCGTAGAGGAGCTTCTGGAGCGGCTGGTCGCTGTTGACCGTCTCGATGAGTGCAGCCAGCGAGCAACGTCTCGCCAGTCCATTGCCCAGCAACACCTTGTATTGACCGGTATTGCCCATAGGGAGGAGGATAGGAGATGTCGGCATATACATCACCAGTCTGTCTGCTGTTTGTGGTAGCTGGCCATCTGCGTAGTCCGTGTCATCCCCAGGTTGGTAACTTAACCCGTAGTCAAGAGGCAATGGGTACGCCTCCACTCCTTGAACCTCATAGCCCTTCAGCATCTCCACCAGATAGCCCGTTTGACTCTGGAACACCCCTTTTTTGTACCTTCTCAGTTCCATGCCGCAAAAGCGCAACTCCTTCTTCTCATTCAGGAGTTCCAACGGTGAGCATTCCCAGAGTGACTTCACCGCATTGGCCACTGCTTTGACCTGTTCGGTCTCCCCAAGGAGCAGCATGTCGTCCACGTACACCACCACAATGCCGTTCCTCACTCTCTGGTGCACCAACTGAACTCTTGTCCAGCATGTCGCCATCGGAGATGTGGAAGTTGTTCATCGCGATGTCGCCCCGAAAATCTCCTGGCGACTCGATTAGTCTCAGGCTTCACCATGTTCATGGCCTTGAGCAGTGAAGGTGGCTCTCCAAGCGTTACCCTGGTTATCTGGGTTCTTCGAGGAGCCTGCAAGAACGCGGCCTTCACGTCAATGGCTCCTATACCATAGCGCGAATCGCCAATGAGTCGCATCCACTTGCAGCGTGCGCTAACTCCTCATTCTCCCTTTCCATGGCGTAGTTTCCACACACCACGACTCTTCGCTTCTTCCTTGCAGGGGGTTTCAACGTGGCAATCGCCTTCATCGGCAGGCATTCCACCTCTTTGTCTCCTTGGAGAAGTTGTTGGAACTGGTTCTCGTTGATGGCTTCCACTGCCGTCATCTTGAGGTTGTTGGTTTCCTCCTCAAACACTGGTTTCCATTCTTCCAGATTCCGACGAACTTCATCCACTGCCACAAGTCGGGTCTGTAGAACTTGTTGTTCAGCTTCCACCTCCAACTTTCTCATATTTGCCATCTGAACCACGTTGTCCTCAATGGCGTTCAACTCTTCCTTCGGATTCAACTCTTCCTTCGGATTCAAAGCCAATTTCACTTCTTGTGGACACACTGTCTCATCCTCGATTCCACGATAACATCACGCACCCACCTGGTGAGCTCCTTGTGCTGGCTGACCATCATACGCTCAATTGCTTCTTCGCATTGTACTCGCCGATGTTCTTCATCCCCTAGTAGTCGAGCTTGATCTCCACCTGTCGCATCGATCTTGAAGATCCTGGGGCGATGAGGTCATACTTCAGGACCCTTACCATACAGCCTCCACCTCTTGGCTTGCTCAGGTGGTGTTGGTTCTTCAATTCCCAAAGCAAGTCTTCCTTCGTCAACCTCCTCCAACACTGCATTGATCTCCAAGTGCGGGTACATCAACAGTCCTGTCTTGGTGATGTCAATCCTTCGAGGTCCTTGTGGAGGTTCTTCAATCTCGCCAAAGACACCACCTGAACTCCAGCATCTTGAGCTTGAAGGTTGTCAGCTGCTTGAGCTTGTTGTACTTCTTCAGGTTGTTGTGGACCTTGTTGATCATCATCCAGTCGTCGATTTTCAGGTCGGTCTCCGTCATCTCCAAGAGAAGTTGGTCTCCAGGTCCTTCATCCTCCCCCTGTGGCGCATCACCAGGTTCAGCTTGTAGGGCTGATTGATCTGCAAAGACCTTGACTCTGAAGAACTTGCCTGTCTCATCGCTCTGGGCATAGTATCCAAGCGATGTAGTTGCCATGTCGGCTGCTGGTTCCAAAAAACTGAGCTTCTGCATGGGATGCTTCAGCGTGTCATCTCGTTTTTGCCACAACTTCTGTTTGACCATTGCCTTCAACCCAAACGGCCAGAGTTCTGGTGTTGCAACACCCAAGGCCTGAAGTTGTCGCCGTAGGCGTTGTTCTCCAACATTTCGGAGTGCGAGAAGCCAAAAATGTGTAGGTGCCCTCGATTCTGTCAGCACTCCTCATCCTCTGTTTCAACTCTCTGACCTCCCTCTCGGCTCTGGCATTGCCTTGTGGTTCACTTCCGAACTCATCGTGTGGAACAAGTCATGGTCTTTGATCCAAACTCTTTGGCTCTATCTGTATGAGTGCCATTACCTTGGTCTTGACGTAGAGCTTGGCCACCGCTTGGAGCAGGTCATCATTGTGCCGTGACTTGAGAGGCACCGTGAACGCCAGGTTCTTGACATTCTGAGATTCTGTCCTGCAAGGAAAATCTCCATCGCCGTTCACGCACTTCTTGTGTTTGATCTCGGCCTCGGTCAGCTCCTGTTGGGGCTCTTCATCTTCCTCAGGAAGTGGGTCAAGTACTCGTGCATGAAGTCATCCTCCACGTCTCATCCTTGTTGGTGTGGCAGGTGCAGTCCCGCCAGTCCTTGTGGTAGAGGAGCTCCATGCTTGTCGATCAGCACCGTGTATGTCGCCACAAGACCATATCTTGGTCCTTTCAACTCCTGGTCCTGTCCTTGGGCAAATGGCCCCATAATGTCCATTGACAAACAGAAGGATGTTGGCACTGAAGCCTCTTCCTGTACCGATCTGCTCCTGCAGCACGAAGACATACTTCACAGTGGTTTCGAAAATGTAGATGGTCGGCACGGACATGTTCCTTCCACTTCTGGTCAGGGCCTTCACCATCGTCTCCTCTTGTGACAACCTCCGAATTGCCATTCTGAGAAGTCCCTTGAGTCCGGCGGCCCAGGTAGCAAATTCCTTGGAGAACTGGATCCTCTTTTCAAGTTCTTGCGGCCACTTTTCAGGTTGGCCTTGCGTCTTCCATCCATCGACCCTTTGATTGCTTCGATGTCGGTAAGCAAAGTTGTCGGCTTAGTTGTGGGATGCCCCAAGCTTCCCTGATCCACCTTGACCGTTGTGAGGTTGCAGTTTTCCACCACATGTAGCGTCTCTGGCCATTGCGAAAAGGTTGGAAACCCATACTGTATCCCTTGTGCAACTCCTCATCATCGGCCCTGTTGCCCTTGGTCAACTTCACCAGCTTGAGCATTCGAAGCTGAGGCCTCGCAGTCCAAACCTCAATTGTCCATAGCGTCCACGTAGTGGTCAAGTTCACATTGGTCGATGCGACCTGCTTTGCAGCTCCTCCAGGTAGGCCATCAGGTCGTTGTTCCGCATGCCTGCACCCTTCTTGAGCTCCACCTGGATCACCTCTACGCCATTGCTTCGTCGTTCCAGTCGCTTCCAAGTCTTCTCATCATCGCCTGGGTACAAGTGAAGTAACACAAACTTTGCTGTCTCGATTGCCCTTCTTTTTATTCTGTTCCATGGCAACCGATCTGGGTTCCATTGTCCGTCACAGGCCACATTCTCAACCAAGTAGGCTGGAACATCTGGAAACATTCTCTGAACTTCTGCTACGTTCTTATCATACTCTGTCTCGGGCTCGGTTTCCTTCCCCAAGATTGCAGCTATTCTGGCTTTCTTCTTCTCTTCAGCCTCGATGAGATCCATCAGCATGTCGCCGCACTCCTTGTTCACCGTCGGACATCCTTGAACATGGTGACTGGTAGTCGTTGGTGTTCTACGTTTGTTCTACGTTTTCCACCACGCACTCCTCCTCGGTCCACATCATGTTGCTGCCCGTCTGCAGCATCTTGCTCACTGGCATCATGGCTTGCACCGCCTCCATTGTCAGCAAAGTCCACTGCTCCTGTCGCCAACTTCACTGTCACCGGCTGTGCTTGTTGCCATTCATCTTCACCTTGAGCCTGACGAAGACAGTGCGTACGGCGCAGCTCCTCCTTCAAGTAGGGTTGTCATCTCTTCATGTGGCTGAAGTTTTCGAACCTGGCAAACTCGACGTCATGGTCCTTGTCCTTCTCCCTGTGTCACCTGTAAGCTTTTCAACCGCTTTGTGACATCCTCCATGACTCCCCCGTCGAGGTCGTAGGGCTCAATGTCGATGCTTGCGCTGTTGTCGATGACGTTGAAGTAGAAATGGCCACATCCTGTTGAAGATTCAACCACCTGTTGGGTCACCGGTGCATTGTCTTGGCTTTCGGAAGTGTTGCCATCTGTGGACTTCCCCTGTACTCATGTTCTTTGTCCTACACTTGCCTGTGGGCTTGCCAGCCACAGACTTCGTCGGTGAGCCTCCTTTTCCACCTGGAGCAGCATCACAGTGCTTCGCCATGTGCTTAGTGCTGCTGCACACATAGCATCTTGAGTACTGGTCCGTGAGCTTGTTCGCGTCGTGCACAAACTTGCATGTCCGTCCAGCTTTGGAACCTGCCTGTGTCCCCCAGTTTCTGCACGGCTTCGTCGAGTTGACTGGACCTCCTTCTGTCCTTGAGGTGAACTTCCAGTCTTCCCTTGGCCTTTGTTGCCCTTCTCTACATTGCCCACAGCCTTCAACTTCGGGTTGGCTTCTGGTGTGAAAGTTGTGGGTGTCCTTGCCGCTGTGCTGAGGCAAGTGGTCCGCCTCGGCAAGGAGCAACTGCAAGTGGGACTGCATGGTTGCCTGTGTCGGCGCCACGTCTACCATGTTTCTCATCCGGAGCGCGTTGACCCTGAAAGACGCCTGTTTGTCTTTTCCAAGCACCAGCTTCATCATCTCAGTTAGCGACCCCTGGGGCTTGAAGTCCAAGTTCTTGGGCACGAAATAGTTGTCGTTGCCACTGACGTAGCGACTCAGATGCTTCAAGTGCCGTTCTTGCTGGGCTAACTTTTGTGAAGATATTCAGAAGACCAGCTGTCTCACTCAGTCCACCCCGGCTGAAACTGCTTCAAGACTCTGCAGATCAACTGGACGCAGGTCAACTCTCTGCATGGTGGAGATTGCCTCCTGTTTCACCGCTGCCGGCACTGCAGTCGAAAGCATAGTCAACACCCTTGCTTCCTGTTTGGCTGAACACTCATCTTGTCCAGGGGGCTTGCAGCTAACCATCGACCAAAGGCTTCATGCGCTTGCTGTAATGTTTCTGTCCACCATGCACTTGCTCCTTCTGACACGTTGGAGATCAGCGGCATCAACTCACTAAGCCAATCCCCTGCCCTCAATGCTGGTTGAGGTTCCGTCACATCCTTCAACTCTGGTAGTGTTTTTGGGACATTGCACCGCACTTCAGGTTGAGCATCTCTGGCATCTTGCAGTGGTCCACCATCTTGTTGTGGAAGTTGTTGGCCAAGATCTGCAGGTGGACCTCTATCCTTGGTCACTGGCATGCTCCAGTATGGTCCATCCAGCGGCTTCTGATTCCCTCTCAGGTTCTTGACCTCTTCCTCAAGCCATGCCAACTTCTGCTCATTGTCACTCTTCCGTTCGTTTCCCACTTGTTGTTCCCCATCCATGACCAACTGATGGTCCAACTGCTTATCCATGAGGTCCCGCAGGTTGACCTTGTTCTTGTCCCTTCGGTTCCCTCATTTTCCAATCATCCCTGGCGGTTCTGAGGTCCAAAACACTTCACCCCCTCCATGAGCTTGTCCCACTGGAGTTCGGTGATCTTGTCCTTGGGGTTGTACCTGTACCTTGTCCCACATACCGTACCCCAAAACATCTGCTCTTGCTGAGGCCCATCATGCAAGTGAACCTCACGTCCTTGATTGGCTCCACGTAGATGAGATGACCTCCTTGATTGCCATCTCGTTGAAGTCCAAAACCTTGATCCTGTCCCGGTAGTGGCTCACGTGGTCCACCTCCTCGTCGGACATCATCTTGCCGATCTCCACAACCTTGTTGGAGTCCCTGGCCTTGCCTTTGTCCATGTCGTCCGCCAGGAAACCCTCCATAAGGCCTTGGTAGAGGTGGAGGTGGGGGCACAAAGACCTCATCAAAGTTCCATCCCTCCTTCTCCAAGTTCCGCGGGGATCCCAAAAACGGAAGATCCGGTACTCTTGGCATCATTGGCGGAGTTCCCAGTGGCACCGCTGTCCCACCATAGCTACTGGCTCCCTCTTAGGTTGCCGTACTCCTTCTTCAGGTGCACGCGTTCCCTGCTGCTTCAGAGCATCATTCTCCTCTTGCGGCTTTGCCACTCGTTGCATTAGCTCTTCAACCATTTTCCTTTCTATTGCTCGCTCCAACTCATCACGCCGCTCACCTCCGGAACGCTGAACTTTTGCTGGAGGTAGCTCTTGTTCAGGTCCTTGAACTTGTTCAGAACCTCTTACTCCACTATCGCGGCCTCAAAGTCCATCAAGGTGATCCGCCTTAGAATCTTGAACTTGTCCAAGACTCCGTTCTCGTTCATCGCGGGCTCGAAGTCCATCGAGTTGTTCCGCCTTAGAGAATTGAACTTGTCCAAGACCCCGTTCTCGTCCAGCACGGCCTTGGAGTCCCCCCAAGTAGTCCCATGCTGGCCCCCCTTGCCGCTCACCAGTTCCACCTTCTGCCAGGTCAGCCTGAACTATAGTGACTGCAGTCTGGAATCCCATAGGAACCCATTATACTCAAACTCCTTGAAGTCCCTCTTGTCGCAACACCCGTAGGCCATCCAACGCTCACATGCACTGATTGCGACCCAACTGCATCACCCTGAGATCCGCCTTGGTTTTCCAGTGGTTCCCAGCTTGGCGGTGTGCTCTCACCTGCCGTCCTCAACTCGTCCTCATCTAAGTCAAGGTCCAACAGATTCTCACTCGGTGTCTCATCCGGTAGACCTCTAGGTCTTGCCTGGGTCAAGAGGTGTTCTTCCCTCACCTCTTCACTCCAGAATGGGTTTGGTTCCTGCCCTCTGCCATGATCGTCGCCATGTCCTTGGCCTTGATCGTCCGTCCCCTTGTTGTCCTCCTTGTAGTTCACCATCCACAGGCCTTGACATAGTCCTTGTACTCCACGACATGGCTTTCAGTTGAGCGACCTTGGGCTCATAACCTGTAGATTCACAGGATGAATCCCAGGCGGAGTGGCGCAGCAACTGTTTTACCTTGGGCACAAAAGAGCCTGCAGTTGGCTCAGGAGGTTTTGCGTGTACTCAGCCAGGTTGTTGTTAGGCTATCTTCCACACAAAGAAAAGACAGTAGTATACAAACAGTACATATGTTTGATGCTTAGAGCCAGAAACCAGAAAAATCAAGACCCTTGAATCTTGGAATGGCTCAGATAATGTACAAAAACTCGGTATATAGTGAGGCAAACAGCAATAGCATGGGGTCCCATTTCATGAAATGTATTGAAATGTCTTTCTCACCCCATTGCCCAACAGCAAATGACCATACCGTCCTCGGAGTCACCCAGGGCCCTCGCTGGGGCTACTGATCACCTGCGCCTGCAGCTTCTTCAGCAAGCAGCGGTTCACCACCTGCGTTTTGACAGTGCCCTGAAGCGAGTGGCCCAAAAAACATGAGCTGACCGAGTTGGCTGCCTTTGCGTCAATGCCGCCGTTGGGGAACTTCAGGATGGGGCTAAGGTCCATTCCTGCCAAGCCAGCCAAATTCCGGCAGCATACATCAGCATACCGAGTTTATCAAGTCATTTCTCAGACCAAGATGATATGAAGAAAAACTGACTGAAGTTCCTGCAGTGAATGCCACAAATTCTGATCATTCCACTGAGGTGCCAACGCGCAGAAATCTGATGTCCTGGGTCACTCGGAGTACCTCCTGCTGGGTACCTGAGCTCTCATAACAGGTGTTATCTTGCACTTGAACCCTATAGGTGGGGGGAAGTCCTTGGTCTTGCACTTTCTCTTCGTTTGCAAACAAAAAAGACTGCTGGCTTCGGTGGCAAAAGAATGATACATTCTTAGCTAGCTGAGGGAGCATACGAATTCTGCGTCATGATATTCCGCATTTCTTGCAAGGCCTCACACAGAGAAGGAACAACCAGTTTACATCCGTGCGAATTAGATGTCAATGGATAATGGATGTCAATAGTCTACATCCTAGCATCTCAAGAGGGGATGGCAAACAACCAGCGCTGTCGTGAGGAAAGCTCGCTACTCATTGCAGTTGTTGCGGACATCCAGTCACCAACCCCTGGGTCTCCGCACATTGATGGTAGGTGCAACCAATTGGAAGGCCACAGCACGAGGGTTGCCCTAGCAGCAAGCCATGCAGCAAAACAAAGCCAACGTCACAACACCTTTCACCTCCACAAAGCTATCAGACGGAACTTAGGAATCTCAATATCATATCTACCAGCAACAGCTGAAGCTATCAATGTGCTCAAAAAATGCCTAGCTAAGCCTAGATAAAACCTTCGGTTCGCTACGGTCCCGCTGCCGCTAGCTTTGTTGAGTGGAATAGTGTCCCTCTGTCCCGGCACCTGGTATGAATAGAGCGCTCCATGGGTACGCTCAGCATTGCTAAAGCCTTCAGCAAAGCATCAGGTCACAGTCACCTAACTTCTCCACCGCTAACTATGAATCACCTTTCTCATGCCATCCTTGAAAACAAGAATCTTAAATCTGGTCAAATCAGGGCGGAAGACAGAAAGTACCCCTTTCTGTCAACAAGCAACGCAGCCAGCTCTACCTCAGAATTGTCCGGGAATCCAGTGTGCTCGCTTTCCCTGTCGTCCAGCCTGGCAGCTCTCGGGTCTTCCCGAAGAAGGGCCGATTGAAGGATGCCCAATACCTGAACTTTCTTGAGAGCCCAAGTGCAGCTTGACAAACGGATTGCAGTTTGTCTATGAAGCTAGAAATCCAGAAAATCGCTTCTCTCAGAACCAAAAACCTTGCCTGTTCTGACGCAGATACCTGCTCATGTCCTGCAACTGGCAAATGGTGTCTGAAAAGGAGGACAGGATACAGAGTCTGTTCAAAGCATCCGATTTCCGGAGGTGATAGTCAGTGATAGCCAGTGACAATACACCATATTCGCAAGTTGCTGAGCTGCAAGCCCGCATCTCAGAGACACCAGGGATCATTTCCACCACCCAGAAGGTGCTGTCGGGCACCTCAACTAGCAGCCGCTGTGTGAAAGCTGGAGCTGGATGGGTCTGAGCTAGGCACCGGCTTGCCACTTTCGAACCTGGAAAGTCAAGCAGTTTCCAGAGTGGTTCATCCGTTTTTCCTTTTTGTGATGTGTTTTGACTAGCTAGCAGCTGGAAAATCACCAGTTGATATCAGACTTATCACAAGGTCCAACACCGCTGTTGGAGGCTACCAAGGAAAGCTACCAGGGTATAGAAAGGTAGCAGAGAAAACAAAGACAGGTGAGAGTGCTTTTGAGTTCCCAGCAGATTGTAATCAGACACCATCCATTGCGCAGCAAAAGTTCCCGTATTTGTCTTTGACAAGAGTCGCACCTGTGCGCCACTGACAAAACAACAAAACCAAATTCGACACGTCCCAATCTCTCCCTGCAGTAAAAGTATTCCATGATGATACAGGTTGCAGAAATTGATAGAAATTGTTTATCGCACTGAAATTTAAAAAAGAAAACAATTAAAGGACCGGATAACCCCACATGTCAACTTCTTCCAACAAGCAGCAAAAGAAAGTTAAAGATGGCATGGGAAAAGCATGGAAATGCAGGAAAGAGAAAAGAGATGGTGAAGGATTGGCATGTGCAACAAGGAACCCGTGTGTGAGTAAGTTGTGTGTGTGATGCGTCATCTGGGAACCAAGCGCGCCACCAGAGCCAGCCCAGTGCCAGAAGTGCCACGCCTGCCACGCAAAAAGCCGCGGCGTCCACGGCGTCATCTGGGAACCAAGCGCGCCACCAGAGCCAGCCCAGCGCCATCAGTGCTACGCCTGCCGCGCAAAGTGACGGTCGATGTCACCAAGTGCCACGCCTGCCACGCAAAGTAAAGGTGGATGTCACCGAGTGCCACGCCTGCCACGCAAAAAGCCGCGGCGTCCACGGCGTCATCTGGGAACCAAGCGCGCCACCAGAGCCAGCCCAGTGCCATAAGTGCCACACCTGCCACGCACAGTGACGGTCGATGTCACCAAGTACCACGCCTGCCACGCAGGATGCACGTCCATGTCGCCGAGTGCCGGGCCTGCCACGCAAAAAGCCGCGGCGTCCACGGCGTCATCTGGGAACCAAGCGCGCCACCAGTGCCAGCCCAGTGCGGTTTAGGACAGATTTGCGGCAACGAGCGCTGTAACTTGGAGAGCTGTTCCGGCAGAGTTCAAAACAGGGATGTGCGAGATGAAATTTAAGGGTCTGGGCCATAAGTGCCACGCCTGCGACGCAAAATGACGGTCGATGTCACCAAGTGCCACGCCTGCCACGCAGGATGCACGTCCATGTCGCCGAGTGCCACGCTTGCCACGCAAAAAGCCGCGGCGTCCACGGCGTCATCTGGGAACCAAGCGCGCCACAAGAGCCAGCCCAGCGCCATCAGTGCTACGCCTGCCGCGCAAAGTGACGGTCGATGTCACCAAGTGCCACGCCTGCCACGCAAAGTGAAGGTGGATGTCACCGAGGGCCACGCCTGCCACGCAAAGTGACGGTTGTCAAGTTGTGTGTGTGTGAGTAAGTTGTGTACGAGAAGTTGTCAAGTTGTGTGTGAGTAAGTTGTGTGTGGACAAGTTGTGTGTGGACAAGTTGTGTGTGGACAAGTTGTGTGTGAGAAAGTTGTGTGTGGACAAGTTGTGTGTGGACAAGTTGTGTGTGAGTAAGTTGTGTGTGGACAAGTTGTGTGTGGACAAGTTGTGTGTGGACAAGTTGTGTGTGAGAAAGTTGTGTGTGGACAAGTTGTGTGTGGACAAGTTGTGTGTAGACAGTTGTGTGTGGACAATTTGTGTGTGGACAAGTTGTGTGTGGACAAGTTGGAGCGGCGGAGAGGCGGAGAGGCGGAGAGGCGGAGGTGCAGAACCAAAAACAAGAACCCCACACAAAGATGTGGGGAATTATCTTGAATCCAGTAGCACCCTCAGGATCAGACCCAATCAGCAGCACTCTTGGCCAGGCGATTTACTGCCATGAGGTGCATGAAATTCCTCGGCGAAAGCTAGTGGAACCCACGAGCCACTAGCCATTGTCACTTATCCTTGCCTCTCGTTTAAGGACACCAGAGGGAAGAAAGTATTGGTATTTGCTCTCGTTCAATTGAAAGGATCACAGAATAGCGTCACAAGTCGATATGAAACTGGATCCACGTCCAGCGGGGGAAGGAAGGGCCAAAACAAAACTGCCAACAATGCTGGGAGATGCATGGCCCCGGCTTAATATGCATCGTATGCGATTCAAGAAGCAATATTCTGCGAAATGGATATGATTCGACGCTTCCTGCCCACTAGTCGAAAGAAGCACTCCACAGCATAACATGCGGCAAAGGCACGGAACGCTCCGAAAGCGAGGGAAGTCCAGAACCCTAAGCGTGCCGGGTGAATTTGTCACTCGACGAGCAAAGCCATCTAGGCCATCTAGGCCATCTAGGCCATCTGGGCCATCTAGGCCATCTAGGCCATCTAGGAAAAGGACTTGTCCCAAACGTTGTCATCCAGGACCACCAAGGAGGTCTCCATAGTCACAATGCCTGCAGCAATGCAATACTCTTCCTTGAATGACCTAAATGGTGCAAAGGCACAACAATTCTCCTGGATGCCTGGATGCTTTGTCAACAATGTATTGGCCCCTTTACTGAGCAAGGGACCACTGTTCAGCATATAGAAATCATCTGTGCCTCAAAAAACACAGTTTCAGCCGCTGAAAGTCACAAAGTTCTTAAGGCCGCAGCTGGTGATTGCTCCAGGATAGGAGGAGAATGACATCTGGGTTGCAGCCGTCTCTGCAGCAGGAAGGGAGAAGTTGTAGAACCTGAGTCAAGGGGCAGTCTACTGCAGTTCTGAATTGAAGAGCAATTATAGGACCTGGCGTTTTGCTGGAATTATTCTCATTGCTTTCAAGAGAACACTTCCCAAGAAACTCGCGCAGTGGAGCAGTTCTTTCAATATGGTTTGATCTATGGAATCTATGGCTGTCCTCACAATCATATCCTGGGCTGTGTCACAAGTTTCAGGTTCCTGTGAAGTGATGTCTGACCATCACTTCAACAATCCGGTGCTCCGCCAAGAAGCTTGAAGATTCGAGTCATCTTGCTATAATCGTCCCAGGTAGTGTGACCTTACGCTCAACTTTGAACCATGCAGCTGCAGCCTGAAGGTCTGAGATCCAACAGCCTGAGGCCATATCCCATGAAAATGTCAGTATCTCCATCCCCCAAGCGCACCAAAGCAGAGCACCGTCCGCTCCTGCAGATTTGAAGAAGCACAACCAGGCCAAACACTCCAACCTGGAATTATGTGATATTCTATGTGGTGCCCGCGACTCATAACATCACTTCATCATTTTTTTAGGGATTTTAGTGTGCTGCCTGACTTAGTTTCTGCTGTAACTGACAATAACGGACTTCAGCCAGGTGGCTCAATGAGTCGGCGCTCCCAATGAGCATCATCTAGTGGGTCCTGTTGGAGCCAGCTCTGTCAGGGCGAAACTCTCAATCGAAAGACGCACTTAGTGGGTGGCATCAATTCAAATATCCCAGATATTCCAGCAGTTTCTCGTTGCATCTCAGACTGGAAAGCAAATGTTTTCCAAAACACGACACTTCAGTCTAAATTTACCGTTCATGGCCATGGGTGATGGGCAACAAGCACATGCAGCATCTCCTCCACTTGGCGCCGGCTGCGCTGTTGGAGGAAAGAAGGTGCCTGCTATAGGGGACTAAAATCTAGGAAACGTATCCAGCACTCCATGCTGCAGCAAAGCATCCAAAATAGCCAAGAAAATGTACTTCCAAAGAGCTGATGGTTGGCAAGACTGATGGCTTGCTCAATGCTCGAATTGAGGAACGCTTGCCTGAGATCTAGCAGCCCGGTGCTCTCGACGCTCTGGAGAGTAGGCCTTCGCTTACAAGCTGCTGCAATGCTGCTGCAATGCTGCACATTGTTCTCCCTATTGTTTCTGTTAGATACGGTAGTGGCTCCCACCTGCATAAGTTGAGCAAGCTCTCCACCAGCCTGGAATTAGAGGCTGGTGGAAATGGCACTGGGCAAGAGTGTGTAGACTCGACAGGCAGGGCACATATCATAGTAAATCCTGCAAGTTGAGGACCATCAGCATTTCAGGCTTTGTATGTTGTGTAACTGCAATATATAAAGCTCGGTACTTCTCCACAGATCAAGAAAGGTCCATTCATCGCAGCGAAGTTTTTGTCCTTCACAAACTTCACTGCAGCTGGGGATCCGGCATTCATGAAGAGCATGTCGTCCAACTCCAACATCTCTCCACCAAAGCGCAGAGATGCTGCATTATAACCTGGTTTATGAATGTTGGGAAGCACACTATAACCATTATAACCATTATAACCTGGTTTATTCCATTATAACCATTATAACCTGGTTTATGAATGTTTAGGAATCAAATGGGAAGCACACTCAGTGCACTCTCTCTGGACAGTCACTTTGGGCTACTTTGGAATCTGTTGGATGCTCAGTGCACCAATCTGATTGGCTCTCACCCTCGGCCAAACATCTACTGAAAATAAGATTCCAAGAAATCCAGAGGCTCCTGCCATCAAGCACGCCCCACATCTGAAAGAACCTCAGCAAGACATGTTGAACCTCTGCATGAGATGGCTTCGGTCTGCACAGCTGATTCATCTCCTCGCAAACTGAGTTCTCGGCGCATATCGAACCTGTTTCCAATAAGGATCTTCAGGTTCTTCCGAAAAGATATGATACCTGAGCTTTACGCTGCCCAACAGATTGGGCCCAAATAGTACACCCCCAGAAGGCTAAGGAAGACACTCCATGTTCGTCATAGAGCGCGCGTGTGCTAGCCTGTCACAATCACACGTTGCATCAGGGTGCCAAGACCATTCGTGCAAACTCTTGATTTAAGGTTTGGACTTTGGACCTCAAATATGAACGAAGGTTATCGTTGGAGGAACTGTTCTCTGTTCAACATCACCAATAGCCTGAAGGTATGCACAGTGTACACTTGCTTCCAATATCATGTCAGACTCTTTAAAAAATCTCAGCACCAAATTGTTTGACCTGAAGCTATCGAGGCAAGGATGGCAAGCAAACATGCCAGGCAATCTGATTCTGGAACAGCTTTCTAATTGATGGCAATGCATTGGCCTTGAACAGGTCAGTGCACTGAGCCAAGCAACATTTGCCAAGGAGCCCTCTGAGGGGTAAGGGAGGGCTTTGAAAAAATGGTATTCCTTTCCACATGTTCCGACTACATAAATGGGTGCAAGCATCAAGTATGCAACCAGCTGAGATGGAGAGAAGTATGAGAGGCATCCAGAGACCCGTGAGACTTCAACTTGTCCTGCCCAAACGTGCCACGGTTTGAGGGCCCTTCCACTACAGTGAAGTCTGAGCACTGTGGAGTTGACTGGAGACCAAGCTGCCGACCGTCTTGTCCTTCATTAGAAGAAGCCTGGGCTCGGATGAAAGGACCGGAAAATACACATGAAAGGACACGTAAGAGGTGTCAAAGAGCTTTGATTTTGGAAATTGATGGCAGCTCTTTCCATCTGTGTTCTAGAAGTGTTCGGTCAGGAAGATTCCAAGTGAAGCCTTTTCTGAGAAATGTGGCCAAGGTGTGGCCAAGGAGCTTTTGACTGTTGGAGTAGTACTCAGAAATTCTCACGCAGGTCAGCAAACCTTCGATGTAACCAGCAGCCTAGGGCAGGGCGATTGTGATGCTTGGCTCGAGGTTCCAAGTCCAGAGGCTAAGCTCAGAACGTACATCTTCACGTCGTTTGCCATGTTCTGATCGTCGGATGTCTGAACGTGAAGTTCCGACCTAGTGGCATGCCGGCAAACTGGCAGCACTATGAATGACATCAGAAGATCGATGGCAGACTAAAGACGTGTATATGAGCAATTTTACAAGAGGTTGCAGCCGGCAATATTGTTGGTATTCTCATCACCGGTTAAAGATTTGTGTTTGCAGTTTGTGCACATACCGGGACTAGGCCGTTGATCTGATACTCCTGAAATGGAAACAAGGTTCTATGTAATCACAAGAATCTGAAGAGCTGACCACAATCATTTGCCTTGCCAAGTAATGGCCTCCAATAGTGGTCCAATGTTTTGAGTTTCCCACCAACCAGTTCGCTGGATGTCATCTGAGAACTTCCCCCAAGCAACTCCAGCCTGTGGCCTTAGAGACAAGTTCAAAGTGTGTCTGAATCGAAACACAAACATGGCATTGCATGGCCACAGCAAACACAACCTGAGTCCAGCACGACATTCCCTCCTCTACCATCAGCGCCTGGACCGTCTTGTCGAAGACCATCGTCAAGCCCTGCATTATGGAGTCTAGTCTGTGTAGGCATAAAATCATGAACTCATCCCAGCTGTTATACTCAGTGAGGCTCCGATTGAATTCTGCCAGAGCTTCTAATAACTTCAAGGCGAAAGGGCAAAAGGTTGCCTCGTCTTCTTTTAAGTCAGACCTCATCAGCACATCCATGTTGAAACACTCCCAGTGTCATGTGAGACAGCACAAAATCATGGACGGTGCCACTTCTGGATGCCTTGTTGGCATTGGCATTTCAAAGTGCCGGCTCCCTTCTCAGCCCATGACACATCAAATTCATATTTCACAGGAAATAATGGCTGGTGGCTCCTGACATCAGCTGGTGTGGGGTGCTGTAGCTAAATGACATTCTCCACTCACTCCGTGCTACCTCCAGTTGAAGCTGGCATGTGCTGACACAGCCTGTCAGTCACAAACTGTTCATCAATTCATGCCCGGCTCAAGTCCAGTCATGCAATTAAGAGGTTGCATTTTTCACATTTCACATATGTTTTCAAAATCCGAAGAAGGACAGTACCTATCAGAGCAAGGAGGCATGGAACGAGTATCAAGACTCCCGCAACACATCTTTGTTACTGCGACATGTTACGACACCCCCTGCGCTGTGTCTTCCGACTGCAAGGCGGCCCTGGCTATCCAAATGAAGTCGATGTTGGCTCTCAACCTGAGTAATGCAATATAAGCCAAAGTAGGCCAAATTGCCAAATTCAAGATTCGGAATAGTGCTGCCCAATTTGGAATTTAAGATTGCAAATCTATGCAAATCTACTATTGAAAGACCCAAAAACTTGATGCAAATCGTGTGATCTCAAATGGAGAGTGATTTCTACGCTCGTATCTTTGACGGGAGCTGCGCTGCTTGTGCACTGCTTTTTTCCGCGGTTTGATCATGTCATAAACCACCTTTTCAGCGATGTTTGGAAATGGGTGATTGATCGTTTGCAAGAACTCGGCCCCCAGAGGCTTGCCACCCCAGTCTCCCCAGCGAATCAGCGGTGTAGAAAACGGCAATTCTCACCGTAGCTGCAGGAACCCCGTTGGTAATCCCGACAAAGTCCGTCGCCTTTGCCCTTGCCCTTGCCCTTGCCTTTGCCTTTGTCGTGCATGCTGTAACTTCCCCGCGACTCATCAGTCAACATACCAGGGGATCCAGCTTCTTCGACGCAAAGCTGGCACAAACACCACAGAATGATGGAGATGCGACCTTTCCCATCTTGCTCTTCGTCGGGCAATGCGTTGATCCCATGCTGCCAAATGATGTTCCTGAGCTGCACTGACAACGTGTCAAAGGAATGAGACCTGATCAATTTCACAAGCCAACGATTGTAAGGTTGCGTCTGAAGGCAAAACAACGTGTCCGTTGACTTCCTCATTTGGTAAAGGATTTGAAATGGGACCTTGGTGGTACAGCACTTGCTATCCGTTGCTATTCCCTCGACCAGTTCAAGGCAGGCATCGCATCACGGCCGAAGTAGAACAACATTCCATTCTTTTGAGGAACGTAGATCAACTCTCCTGTCTTGGCATGACGGAATGCCAATTCGCGAGGAGCACCGAAGGAGATGCCAATGGTGCAGTTTTGGTTGGCAGCCCGTTGCTCATTGAATGCTGCCTTCACTGGTATCTGACTGCTGAAACAGCGACTTCTAGTGCACCAACATGGAACAGCTAACAGTTCTAATATATATATAATCACATGCCATTTCAGGATTAACAGCCTGACTAAGAGAAGTAAAAAGTGCTCATGGCTCAAACACTCGTTCTGATGATTTGCTGATGTTTCCTGGTTGCCGAGCCACAGAGTCATGATGGAAAGGCTTCCAGTCAGATCCATCCCGGTACCAATTGAAACGGGTACCACGATTACGTTCTGCTGCTTGAAAGTATTGACCTGAGTTTCAAAAAAAACACGAGTCACATAAACATTGAATGACTTGATGACTCGACGGTTTCTGCAAATATTACAGTTTTATACAGTTTTCACTCGATTTCAGCTGGATTTCAGGTCGGATTTCCGTTCCGCCCGTTTCGCCCGTTTCGCCCGTTCCGCTGAGGGGCACATTCGCTCCAAGACCTGGCGAAAATCCAAGCGCTGTGACCCCTGTGACCCCTGTGACCCCTGTGACCCCTGTGATGAGAAAAACGGGATCGATCCTCGGGTGTCAGGACAGGTCAGCAGGTCAGGCCTTGGTGTAGGTGGCCGAGCCAGTTGGATTCTGACTCAGCAAATGTGCTCCTTCATGCCACGAGATCCACTCTGCCTAGAGCTCAGAATGTTTCAAGACGTTTCAAGGTGTGAATTCATTATGAACATGAAGAAGTGCAAACAAAGCATGGGACAGTCCAATCTTGCCAAGCCCATAAAAATCCTTTGCAACAATGTGACTAGTGCACTTGAAAACCTCCTGGGAGATGGAAGAAGGACTGAAGAAGGAAGAAGTCTGAGTCTCACAGCACGTGGCAGACAAAAATGACAAAAGAAAAGTCTAAGTGGTTTTGCCTTTTAATCCGTGCCTTTCGATCACCGTTTGCTTGACTCTGGCGCATCTCCTGAAGGCAAATCACGCAGCTTGGAACTTGGAACCTGGAACCTGTCCAAAGGTTCAGTGGGGACACTGAGCGCAACTAGGAAAAAGAGATGCAAATCTGCCCATTTTGCCAGCCTTGATGAGAGTGTAGTATGTGTCCCAATCATCTTCCTGCAAGAAATACATGAATGGCATTTAATAAGGCATTGAATAAGGCATTGAATAATCATGAACACACGGAGCTTTCGAACCAGGCTTTGAATTGCTCCTGATGCAGCGACCCAAACAGTAAAAATGTCTCCTTGCAAAAGAACTCTGGCACAATAATGACATCATCATGCTTCACCGGTGCAGCATAGCGTTTGGACGTAGGCACCTGGGGCATCGGACTTCGAAGTCTCTAAGTCTCCGTGACTCACGTGGAGCACTTCCAACTCTCTCCAGGACGGTACTGATTTCACCAAGGTACTGTGATGACTCTCATGGATGGCCGCGCTGGCCAGGATGCAATCTGCTCACAACCACCTTTGTCCTCCTCACCATGAGAAAACTTGCAGTTGTCACCGAAGTTGCAGCGGCCAAAGCGGAAATCTCTGCATGGTCCCTCCTGCAGTACGAGATTCAGGTGTCATGCTTCGAGCACGAGACAGAGTATCCCAAACGACTACTTCAAGAAAACGAGCACAACATGCCAACAAGCACCATCTCACGCTGGACAGTGCAGGAATGAAGTCATCAAATGGATAAATATGTCTACGCTATTCTACAACCCCTTCCAACATGTTAGATATTTAGATACTGTTAGATACTGTAGTACCTGACCTTAGACATCAGACTCTAAGACTCAGAACACAGACTTCAAGGTGTCCTTGGTGGCAGCAGACACAGAGCTAGCCAGTTGCTCTTCTTCAACTGCCTTTCTGCTTCTACCCCACAGCGACACCAAAATGTTCATGCCGCTGGGAACTTTGGACTCTCCCGCATGCCACTTGGTATCAACATCACATCCAAGAAGCATCAAGGTGCCATTTTCCTGCGGAAAGTAGAGAACTTCACCAGTCCGAGAACGTCTGAAGGCCAGCTCACAGGTAGCTCCCAAGGACAGGTGCAGCATAACTTGGTCTCTTGCATTTTTATTCCCGAAACCAGTCGAACGAAGCTCCATGGCCGGGCCGCCACCGCTCGGGTGCCATCGGATTTGAACAAGGGCATCTTCGTGCTTCACTTGAAAATATTGACACATGCGTGCAGTCAAACTCTTGACGGCTGGGATCTCTTTAGGATCCAGCTCTTCAGATTTCTTAAGCTCTGCAAGGACACGCTTCGCGACACTTTGGTCACCAGCATCACATATCAACTCAGGCACCACAACCACATCATCAGGCTTGGTGTTGGCACCAAGCTCATGGCCTTTCCGACCATACACAATTCGCATGGCAGGTCGAACTAGTGTGGATCGAGGATCAAACGAGGCCGTGTTACGGCCATGCAAGCCTTTGATGCCCATGGCAGCTTTCTGAGCTTTGCCAAGCTCAGCCCCTGGATGATATCGTGGATCATCACTCAATTGAGCAAGGCGCTTGTCTTTGTCAAAGCCAGGACGTGGCAAAGGTTGCAAGGAGTCACGGGAGTCACGCTCAGAATCGCGGCGATCTTCTTGCTCGCGCTCCCAACGATTTCTTGACACTTTCTCACGAGGCTCACGAGGCTCATGTCGCTCCTCCTCCCTAGCGCGGCTCCAGCGGTTGGGCATCTCCACACGCTCCACACGTCGTCTGCTTCGATTGGCAGTGGCTACAGGGCGTCTCTCACTGTCGCTCCGCCGGTCGCGTTTCCGGTAGCGACTGCGGGAGCGCGAACGATGCCTGTTCATCACAACTTTATGATCCTCAGCCAGACTCGAGCCTGCACGGCTGCAGGAAAATAAAAGTGCTGCTATAGTTTGTCAGGCAAGGGATGCTAGCTGTGAAACGAGAAAAAAAATGTGTTCTTACTGTGATCAAAATGTTGTCCATTCTGTTGAATCCACTTGCCTCAGGGTGGACACTTGTCTGAAGTACAACGTGTGTCGGCCTACCCCCAAAATCAAGGCACCCTGACTGCGCCACTGAGCTGCAACACCACCAAAAGGGCCCTGCGCACAGCTTCACATCATGTCATTCAACACCTTCAACCTCTTTTGCTTTACAGATCTTTATAGAAGATTGATCATAAAATTTGAGGCAAACGTGATTAAGTCTTGTGCACATGTTTTGGGTAGAGCAGAACCTGCTAGTCTCAAAAAGGAATCATCTACGATGTACAAGTAAGAATCATTTCTGAATGCAATAGAAGCAAAATCTGAAGTGCAAAGGGAGTGACCCAGCCTGAGGGTGCTTGGAGACCGAGCAACCTTGAAATAAAGGAGAGCTTGACAAAACAAAGAGAGAGGATGGTGTAAAGAACTGTGAACAGAAAACATCAGAAAACTACCTGTCTCTGTTGAGATCAAATTCTTTGGGCAAAAGGGGTGAATCAACCATCTGGTGTCTTTCCTGCTGTTCTGGGCGGCTGGCCATCAGGCCCATGCTTGCATTGAGCTGATTCTCGGGTTGGCAAGGGGCCACCCTCTTGAGCCAAAAAACAGATAAGAACATTCACCTATACAAAGCCTATATAGACTTATTATTCATATATCATATATCCATATTTAATCGTGTATATAAGTATATATATAGTCTAAGATGCATGGGTTGATCAGGTAAAAGGAGTTGTGAAAAAAAAGAAACTGTAGAAAGTGGAAGGTGCGGTGAAAGACAGCAATCTGTCAGAGTCAGCTCTCTCCACTCGCAGTCACACCAAATAAACGCGGATTGAGCAATCTGTCCCACGCTGAACAAACAAGAGCTCTGGCCTTCACTGCCGCCAAAATTCTTCTCGTTTTCCTCCCACGCTTGTCGTCACTGACTCTAAAAACACTTGCTGGCTCACAAACCGTCTCGATTATCAAATTATAAGCAGAACTTCACTGGAGAGCCATGCTCAACAGCTCTGGTTGTGTCTGATCCTGTCCTCTTCTTGTTGACCTGCATGCGCAGCAGCTGCCACTGCCTGTGGAGCCCACTGCCAGGCATCAAACAAGTCCTGTGGGGTGGCCATCCACAGAATCAAGATGCGATAGCAGCCGTACAAAATGAAAAATTAACGGCATAAAAACATGTAAACAATGCGTAGAGTGTGATCTTGAAAGGCCTGTCCCGGAGCTTGCCATAGTTCCCAAGTCCTCAGGAAAGAGGCCTTCCACCTCCATACCGCGCGCAATGGCACCAGGAGGGGCAGCCTGCCATTTGAAGCTGACAGTTGACCTTGACAACTTTGGACTCTGCTGGAAATCTTCAGCCTGCAACCAAGTGAAAGCTCGGGTTTCGCCAGCCCGCGCACCCACTTCAACGGACCTGCCAAGTCACAGAATGGGCAGCAAAAGCCAGGAAGTTTGTGCACATGCATATTCAAGCTTTCCTACCTGCAACCTACATATCATTTCTAAGTGAAACGAAAACAAGTGAACGAGCCAAATCGTGCAAGGTGTGAAATGGCTGAATCGCAAACCCTGTGACCAGCACAGCTGACCTTCCTTCTGTTGTGGTCCGAAACCTCAAATGACGTATTTCCAGACTCACATCAAGAAACACAAAATAATTGCATACTCCAACAATGCATTTTCCTACCGATGTGGATTTTTGAGGCAGGGAGCTTTCTTAGTTCCCGCAAACCTTCGCCACCAGGAACTTCCTCGCAGCTCAAGATTGCAGAACATAGCAATCTCTGTCGAGCCACATAGTTCTATGTACGATCCAGTAACATCAGTAACCCGCAAACACTGCAGTGGCTTTTCAAATGCTACGGACGCGCCATGTGCGTCCTCAATGCAGCGTACTACCACCTCACAGAATCAAGAGCAGAGTCACCAAACTTTGCAAGGAATTTTTTTCAAGGAATCCTTGTCACTTAGGAGACGACACAACACTGTCGCGGCCATCTTTTTGCAGCCGCACACCTTGCGCCGCATCACCGAAATTTGTATGACATGACCCACGGATACCCACGGACTACCACACGCTTTGACCATGCGAAGCCACGGCTTGTTGGATTAGGTTCAAGACTGTAGTGAGTAGAGCCGTCGATTGTCCAAAGCAAACCTTGCTGGCCAATGGTGGGGCATCAAGACATAATATCATACAACGTGCAAGCCTGCATGCGTGCCAAGTTCTAGTTTCCACCAAAAAGATACCCTACTTTGGAAAGTCTCTGAGTCATTTTGCGACCAATTCCCCAGCAATGACTAGACAAGAAAACACCAAAACCGGTCGCCTCTATTCAACATGATCCGCCTGTAACGTAATCCCATCCCCCTGAGAGTATCGAATAGCGAAACAATCATCTACTAGCAAACCTGGGGTCCTATGGGGTGTCTATTCTTAGATTCTTGGGAACCAATACGTTCTCAGCTCCAGACCAGGCCCGCATGCCCAAGAGTTGATCCCCGTTCGCATCACGTTCGGCCTTACAGTTGCGCTGGGAACACGAGCAGCATTTCACAGCTCACGCCTTGGTTTCCAAGACTTTAGGATAGTTCTGGAGACTTCATACGGCGAAGCTTTGAACTTAAAACCTGAGTTGCTTCTTGTGGGAAATTCCAAATCATGTCCAAATTACTTCAAACTTTCAAAACTTTCAAATCGCCTTCTGATTCGCCATCCCAACTGTCAGGCCTCCCCATCTGGCCGCCGAAGCTTGGGCAGCCAAGAGATCACCCGAATCGCAGGGAAGGGTGGCACCAAAACCTCTGTGTTTCATGGCATGATTCAAGGTGATTCCAGGTGATTCAATGGTCCAATGATTGATTCATGACAGAAAAGTCTTCTTCAAACGGGGCCATAAATCTACATAAATATACTTTGTATAATCTATTCAATCTATTCATGTTGAATTATTTGTTGATATTTCCACGTGTTAGCCAGAACTTTACATTGCGCACTTGTGATGCGACTGGGCTTCTCGCCACATCGTAGACTGGGACTCCATCAGCCGCATCCTCGGAGGCTGCGCCTGCAAAGTGTCGATCCTGTGGCAGACAGCGAAGAAGTGGCTTTGTTTAACAGGGGACACCCAAATCGATTGGTTCATCCCCATTAGTTCTGTTAATATATCCCCATCAATTGGCTATCATTGGGGGTATATGCATGTATATGCAGTATACTGCATAGCGTATACCGTATACCCTATTTTCAGACAGGCCCAAAGAATCACTAGGGTGTACAAAAAAGTCTGGTGCGTCGGCCACATGAACCTCATATCAATTCGAACCCTCCTGCAATGGCGCTTCAAAGACCTGCAAACACACAGGATGAGGACGAGCTGATGGCACACATTTCTCAGCCAAAAAGGACGAACTTCTCTCGCAACTTACTGAGCCCACCCCTTCTCAACAGAGGCCGTGTATTCCTGGCCTCGCAAGCAGAGTCCTTGATCAAGTGCCCGTCCTTGGTGCATCAAGTGCATCATGTCGGGTGGCTCTTCGCATGCACTCCTTTTCATACACAGAATAAACCCAGAGGCAAACAAAAAAATACATGGCCTGGCTTTGTTGGCCAATTAGCAAGGACATGACCATCTCCATCTCAGAGTACATCCAAGAAAACAGACCAATTTGCACCATTTAACCTGGCGAACTTGAGAAGCAAACTCGTCTCAACACTTCAGCCCAAGGGAGTTGACACATTTAAAGAGGTGAACAAAAGAACACTTCAGACCTGATCGTGAGGTGAACTTTGGGGCCTTGAAACCCATCAAGATCTCCCTTGACTTAGAGATACCTAGATATCTAGAGTTCTAGAGAATCCAGACAGGTCAAGTTCGCTTCGGACCATCCCAGCTCAAATGATGCTGTCTAAGACGCCCGAAAGTGCGGAGCGATCCGAGGCTGTGAGAAACGGATGTTCAGTGGGTTGATCAATCGCCACCGTCCTCAACAAAACCAGTGGGGTATGTGGATCAAACTCACTAGATATATCTAGATGGTCTAGATGTGTCAAGAGAAAACCAAGTGGCCCGCTTGTTTCAAGGAGTTTCGAACGAAGACCCCTTTGCTCTACCGAATCATTGAGGTACGGGCCTTCCTCACGCGGCCCGGGCATTTTCACACAAAAAATGTCTAACTGAAATGCAGTTCTTTGAGCATAATGCTGCAATTGAAGAACCCTTCAGCACTTCAGCGGTGAAATAAGACATGTTCTGGAACTGACCAGGACCCAACTGCAAGACCAAAATTCCATTTTTTTTCAAACATTGTTGATCTTTGGGACATAAAGAAATGCCATCCTCTTTTCGATCTGCTTGGTCCGTCTGTCTCACATCCACGAAACGTTGTCAGGAATGGGTATACTGGGCAGACTCACACAATCACATTAGGGGCGTCACAGAAATCTCCGCAGTTTGTCTTCCTGCACGGTGGCATGACACTTTTGTGCCACGCTACGTTGTGACGCTGTTTTTTTCCTTATCTTTGCAGCCACTTGTGTGCACAATAGAACGCCAGAATATCAGAATTGCACGCAAACCTGAAGCCAAACATGGCATCACAGAAGTCCAGGTTGTACCCCTCAACCGTTTACTACAAATTATATATAGACTATATAGCTGCTCTTCTGCCTTTTTCCTCTGCATATCCTTTGGTTTTGTTCTGCTGCACGGGGCATATTTGCCATGTGCCTTCTCCCTGAGACCATTCATCCCAGGGGGGGTCGGGTTTGGGCAGCTTGAGCAGAATGAGTCAACGTTGATGTCGCAGCTACTGTCAGCTGCTCTTCTGCCTTTTTCCTCTGCATATCCTTTGGTTTTGTTCTGCTGCACGGGGCATATTTGCCATGTGCCTTCTCCCTGAGACCATTCATCCCATCTTTCCCATCAGTTTGCATCTGAAACAATTTGTACCAAGCAGATGGAGGAACATGGATTCGCTGCAAGTTCTTCATAGATTCCAGGAGGGCAGGAAAAGAAGAAGCCATAGCAAGGATTCTTTCTTTCAGGTCACTGGACAGGTGAGGAAAGTAAATCGTGGCTCCAACCTCCTGCACATAGATCTCCATTGTGCGGGGGGCTAACCACCTTCCCCTGCGCCTGACCAGCTCTGCATCCTCACTAATCATCATCAAAAAAGTTGCTCCACCTGCACGCAAAGAACCCAGGTCAAGACATCGACTTGACTCTGAACGTTGATGTGGCAATCCAATTCCTCTCAGCAGTTGTTTGAACCTAGTACGAAGCAGCTGAGCCGAAAAGGGCCAAAGTCTCTCTTCTGGTTTCAAACCGGCAAAAGCTGATGTCACAAGGTCAACCAGATCTGCATAGTCCAGTCGAGCTACCTGATGACGAGCAGCCCGATACCTCGTCTTAGGTTCTTGCACACGTAGGAAAACAGAACTTGAGGTGTAGCCAACATCAGGAGGCAGCACAAGGTCTCTTCTGTAAGCCTGCAGAACTTCTCCAATCCTACATACTGCCCCCCATGATAGAGCCAAAATGCCAGCAATGGTCGGCCAGCCCCAAAGAATGCAAGCGCTCATCAGTCCAAGAAAGACCTGAAACGGGCATGCTGTGTGATGTTCACCTGGTTCTTCGCGTAACCAGCTGAACGCAAGATCCCAAGCGCCTGTCAGCATTCTTCTGATCGTGGGACGGGCTGCCGCAACTGCATTTATCGTTTCCGAAAAATGGCTGTATGGACGGCCTGAGTCATACAATGCAAGGCCGTACTCAACCAGCTTTGAAACAACTCCTTCAGGGTTCGTGTAGGATTTCTCCAGAAGTTCAGTTAGGCTAATCCCCTTACTCGTGAGCCACGCACCAAAATTTTCCAGCAGCTTGTCACGGTTTGATCGTGTCAAAGGTTGCACAGGCCTTCCTGAGTGCAACGGCTTGACAGATCTGGCTGCAGCTCGTCTCTCATCGTCTCGATGCCGAGGGTTCATGCCATGGCTGTAGCTAACGAGCAGTCCGAAAACTACGAGACCTAGGCAAAATCCAACTACACTTGGGGGACCTTCACCAGGGAAGCCAAGGGTTGCATCAAAATCCAAGACATGATGGTAAAAGTCCACAGGAGGCGAGCTGGAGCGAGTTCTGGGGTGGAGTATGGAGAGGCTGGCATAGCGCAGAGAGTGCACAGAGCAAAGTCCAAGAAAAAGAGAAGTCCAATTCGAAATCCATCGTTTCATGCGGGGGAGCTCTGCCAATCTGAAGAGACCTTCCTGGTCCAGATCGTTGAGGCAAGAGGGCCGAGGGATAGACTCTCGCAACGGACATGAACGTGTTGGGTCATCAGCCACATTAAGTCTTGTTGGGACAAAGTGGATGGAGATGAAAATTCCAAAGGCCAGAGAGATAGCCATGATTTTTCGGAGGAGAGGAGCAAGTGCTTTTGATGAAGAGCGGCCCTTTGCAACAGCTCGCATGACCACGTAAGAATCAACAAGCAAACAAATCCTTCCTCCTCCTTTTCTGGCTGCCCGCTTCAAAGCCTGAACAACTGATGCCATCTCCAAAACATTGATGTGCGATGATCCCGTCCACTTCCAAAAAGAACCTACTGACCACTGCTGCTTCTTGATAACCTCATTCACAAAAATGCTCTCAAGCCCCTCGAAATTGACTCTGTGCTTTGCTGAAAAATCTGCTTCTGCTTTCAAATGCCGGTGAAAAAGATCTGCCAGAGCAACCGCTAAACCCTTACAGTAAACTGCGCTACCTTTGGTCAACTGTCCTTGAACCCTGACATGTGTATGGTCGCGCCTGCAAGGCCTGCAGATGCTCTTTGCTCTCATGTTGCATGTCAGAAACTTGAACTCCTTTTGAAACTCACTTCCAAAAGAGCAGGATGCAGTGAAGGTTTCCTCAACGTTTGGCAGGCTCAAAAGAAAAAGCCATTCCCTGAGCCATCCCATCTTCGATCTCCTAGGAGTCTCCATCAATGCAATGACATAGGCATGGGCTGCAGCCAACATCAATGTCAAACATGCAAAGGCAAGACGGTTCCCATACCAAACTTTTGGGACCCTCTGGTTCCAGCCTCTTGGCACTCTGTAGCTTCGACATGCTGGATGAGCGGCGGCAGAAAATGTCGTGCAGGGGGGCTCCAAAGCCAAGGCCCTGACACGCCGATTCTGCACTAAAAACAAAAGCCATTCCAAAGTTCTCAAATCGACCAGGTTGTATTGCTTGGAGTACGTGATGTCAATGATGGGACCCACCGTGTACCCCAAGGATGACATCTCTTCTGAAATAACTCCAGCTCCACCGCAAATCTCTATGACGTCAAAGAACTGTGCCAGGGGTCTGCTCAAAGGCAACTTCTGGTCGGTCTCTGCTGCTCCAAGGTCATGCCAGTCTTCCTCATCCCATCCACCAGCTTCTTGCACAACCCGCTTCTGCCACGGATCCAGAAATGAATGGCCACCCTTGAAATCTCCTGCTTGCCAAAGGGGCATAGCAAGTCCTGGAGAAATGATAGACTCACAAAATGCACCCTTGATGTTTGACGCATCTGAAGCATAGATCCACTTGTGAAAGGGGGCCAAAATATCTGATGTTGCAATTGGAAGCAGAACTGCGCTCAAAATGAGTTCATTGGCTGCTCTTCGGCTGAGTGGATGAGTGCGGGGCTGATCTGGCTGCAGTTCTGTTGCCGGAATGACCTTAAAGAGCTCCTCCAGCACAGCCATGGAACAGCGCCTGAAGCAAAAAGCCGACACAAGTCCTCCAAGCAGTGAAGCATGTAGTGCATCCGAAGTGCACGGCAAAGCGGCAGCTTTGGCGGCAATCCATGAGAGGGCCAGTCTTTTTGAGGCTGGGCACCCTACTGGAAGAATACCTCCAGCAACTGTGGAAGCCCGGGAATCAACTTCAGCTCCTACTACAACTCCACACTCAGCATCAACCACATCTTTTGGGTCGGAGCCGGCAAGATTGGCGTCCTCATAGCACTGCTTTGCCTGTCGGAAAACATGATAGGCCCTGCTCTTGGGTGCAGAGGGCTTGCCAAGGTCCCCAGCTGTCACCGGTGACAGTGCAAAGAAATCATCTATGCATAGGCCTTGGTAAACCTCAGCAGGACGCGCCAGACGGTCTGTCATCAGTCTGCCTTTGTCAGGCAGAAGAGAATGCTCCTGCAAGAAGCCCACATGAGCCGAGATGCCAAACTCAACCCCAAGGTGATCACCCTGCAGGATAGCACGAAATGCACCATAGACATCAGCATCAGGATTGGTGGGCAGCCTCAGCGGACGATGGCCTCCCAGTTGGTCGCCATGCACCGTACGGTCAATGGGGCACAAGCTAGCTTGGGCTTTCTGCATATATCTCTTGTAGGCTTCAAGGTGAGCAAACTGCCGCAAAGGCAAGGCCGGCCAAACTACATTGGAGCGGCTTCTCTCATCAGAAACTCCAATCTGGTGGTAGTAGTCAGAACGGTCTGTTACACACAGCTTGACACCACAGCCCTCTGGGATGCAAAGTCGCCCAATCAGGGAACCAATGGGGAGAGCGCTGGACGGGCCAGAAATCCTGGCCTCCCATCCGTTCCTCTCTCTCCTGTCGCCGATCTGGCGATCCCATTCTGCTGATTTGAACGCGTTGAAAATCTTGACCCTGCCAGAATCTCCTGTTGTGATAGACTCCTTGGGGTGCAACGTAAGCAAACCCAACGCATCCCACCTTTCAAACAGCTGCATGACAGTTTCTGGACTATCCACCAAAAAATTTGGAACTCCTCTGTCAAAAACTGGACGATCAAGCTCAATCACCTGGGGCTCTCGAAAGGCCATGTACAGTTCTGGCTCAATGTAGGCTGAGGGGTCCCACTGGCCACGCCCCGAAATCTTGAGGCGGTCAGGCTTCAAATTTGAAAAAGGCTGAAGCTGCGGATGTTCTGAGTTGTCAGCCGGAACTGCCAATTTCTCTTTGACTTCACTGTAAGGGCCCGAGGAAAAGCCCAATGCATCTGCAGCCCGCGCCAGCTCTTTGAGGCGGGTCACTAACTGCAAATTTCGACGACCGCAGCTCGCCACTTCGATGGGTTTGCCATGGTCACACGCCTCTAAGAGCAACCGCAACTTGGAGATGGCCGCAGCTTGAATCTCAT